GTCGGGAAGCCGAAAAGAGGATAAACCCAACACTCAGCAAAAACCCATAGAAAATCAATGAGTTTTGCCTCTTGGGGCCTTCATGGGAGTGCTCTTGGAGGCCTCTTGGGACGTTTCGGAGCGCTCTTTGGGGGTATGACGGCTTCTAGGGGGTCGTCGTGGACCGTATTGGGGCTTTCCTGGGGTCGTTTCGGGAGCGCGCCGTAACGCCTGGAACCCGTCTAGGGCCGTCTTCGAGCTCTCGTGAGGTTCCCCCGGGTCGTCTGAAGGGTTGCACGGAGGCTCGGGGAGGGCCAAATTCGTCAGGGGGGGTGGGTTTTTTTTTCCGCGTCCCCGGCCCTACAAGAAATTGATTATTATATGTTTGTACATATGTATGTATGTATGTATGTATGTATGTATGTATGTATGTATGTATGTATGTATGTATGTATATATATATGTACATATATATATGTAATTATATAAATATATGTGAACATATTCCTATGTATCTATTTTTATAGGGCCGGGAGCCCACACCCCAGCGCTCCCCCCCCCAAACGAATTTCGCCTCCTCGGGCCTGTCTTGCGCCTTGCTGTGGCCATCCTGGGGTCGTCTTGACGCCCCCCGAGTCAAGCGATAGTGTACAAGCGAGAAGGCCGAATACATTGCTTTTTTGCTGCGTTTTCTCTGCTTTTCCCACTCTCTGGGCCCTGCCCCACTCTCCGGGCCCAGTTGCGCCAGCCTTGGGTCTCTGTGGGAGTCGTCTGGGGACTCATCTGGAGTCGTCTTGGAGGCATCTAGACGCCTCAAAAGACAATCGGACAAGAAAAGGGAGAGGAAAAGAAAAGGGAGAGGAGAAGGAAGCGGAATGAGGAAAAGGATGGAAAAGCAGAAAGAGGATGAAGATGAAGAGGAGAAAGAGGGGGGAGGAAAATGCGGAGGAAGAGCAAGAGAAGGAGGATGCCCTGCTTCATGCTAATTACCCCAACCAGTCGCCTGAGACTTACTCGTTCCTCTGGGCACAGAAACGCCCTGAGCTGGCCACAGCTGGCGTTGTCAAGTCGCTCCCACTTAGGAGATCCTGTTCCACTCCGACTTGGCGGTGGCCGGCCCCGCGTCCACGCGCGCGCACGCCTTCTGCATTCGAATTCACCAGGAACAAGGTGCATGGCGCGAAGCGCCAATGCAGTCTTGTAGATGTATATATGTGTATACATATATACATATACATATACATATGTGTATATCTGTACACGTGTACATATGTACATATACATATATATATATATATATGTATGCAAGATTGCAGCGGCGCTTCGCGCCATGCACCTTGGTCCTTGAAGTTTTGTATGCAGGCGGAATGGCATGAAGGTCAAGTCGACAATTTAGCGATAACTCCTTGTTGCCTTTACCGGTATCGCCGCCGTTATAATAAAGTTTTTCGTGATCCGTCCTCCACGCTTATTTTTCCTCATTATCAGCTCTTTTTGCGAAGGCTCCTCCTTGGCGAGTCTCTGGTGACCACAGAAAAGTTTTTCAGGCTTTCGCAAGGCCTTCTGGAGGCCTTCTGGACGTGTTCTGGGGGCCTCTGGGGGGGTCCTCGGGCCACCCGGTCGCCCTGCCTCCAACCGCGGTCTCATTGAACGACCGGGTCGCGATTTGGATTGTTTTGGACGGTGTCTTGGGGCCATCTTGGGCCGCCATGGGGCCCTCTCAGGGCCATCGTGGACGCCTGTTGTGCCGTTTTGGGGCTTTTTTGGACAGCTTGGAAGTCCTTTCGGATGGTTGTGGGGCGATGTTGGAGCCCCCCCGAGCGGTTTCGGACGCCCAGAAGGCCGCCGTCTTGGAACGTCGGGAAGAAACCCGCAGAACATCAATGAGTTGTGCCTCTTGGGGCCTTCTGGGGAGTGCTCTTGGAGGCCTTTTGGGATGTTTCGGAGCGATCTTTGGGGGTATGGCGGCTTCTAGAGGGTCGTCGTGAACCCGTTTGGGGCCGTCTTCGGGCTCTCGTGAGGTTCTCCTGGGTCGTCTTTAAGGGTTGCACGGAGGCCTGGGGAGGGGCAAATTCGTCAGGGGGTGGGTCTTTTTTGTCCGCGTCCCCGGCCGTATAGAATATATGGATAACAATACACACATATGCATATATCCGTAAGGGCTTCGCCCCCTGCCGCCGGCCCCCTCTCTCGGAGAATGGGCCATGGAAGAGCTAAGTCATGAGGTCTTGGCGCTGTCGTGAAGCAGTATCGAAACTTCATGCGAAGCCGATTCGCAATCAGCAAAACCAACTGATCACAAGAGGGGTTACCACACCTGGCGATTGGTAAGACGTGTATGGTTTACGGGCTTGGTTACCACACCTTGCGATTAAAGGGCCGAGGGAGTTCTCGCAGTTTGGGTTACCACGCCTTGCGATGGATGTGCGTGAAGGGTGGCACCGAATTTCAGAAATGTGGCAAATCCCCTGTGTTTTTGGACCCTGACCCCGCGGATCTGCGTGAGGGGTGGCGCCGAATTTCAGAAATGTGGCAAATCCCCTGTGTTTTTGGACCCTGACCCCGCGGATCTGCGTGAGGGGTGGCACCGAATTTCAGAAATGTGGCAAATCCCATGTGTTTTTGGACCCTGACCCCGCGGATCTGCGTGAGGGGTGGCACCGAATTTCAGAAATGTGGCAAATCCCATGTGTTTTTGGACCCTGACCCCGCGGATCTGCGTGAGGGGTGGCACCGCCCCATGTGTTTTTGGACCCTGACCCCGCGGATCTGCGTGAGGGGTGGCACCGAATTTCAGAAATGTGGCAAATCCCATGTGTTTTTGGACCCTGACCCCGCGGATCTGCGTGAGGGGTGGCACCGAATTTCAGAAATGTGGCAAATCCCTGTGTTTTTGGACCCTGACCCCGCGGATCTGCGTGAGGGGTGGCACCGAATTTCAGAAATGTGGCAAATCCCCTGTGTTTTTGGACCCTGACCCCGCGGATCTGCGTGAGGGGTGGCACCGAATTTCAGAAATGTGGCAAATCCCCTGTGTTTTTGGACCCTGACCCCGCGGATCTGCGTGAGGGGTGTCGATTTCGAGCCCCCCCAGCAATTCAGACAACGCGCCCAGGGGGTGCTAAAAAGCCGGTTTGGGTCTCCCCCCCCTCGCGCGGTCAATCAACTAGTTACAGTAACCAGCAATAAGCAGAACTGTAACACTGGAAACTACAAGCTACAACTGGTACAGGAAACTGCGAATCCCGCGCCTCGCAGCCTGGTGGCCCCACAAGGGGGCCGGCGGATATGTGTATCTATATATATATATGGGTGTATACATATACTTATACATACATACAGACGGACAGACAGACAGACAGACAGGCAGGCAGACAGACAAACAGACAGACAGACAGACAGACTGACAGACATACACACATACATCCATACATCCATACATCCATACATCCATACATCCATACATCCATACCCCCCTTGGATCCGTGGTCCCGGGGGGCCCTTGGACGCCCCTGCACGAGGCCGCCCCCCGGCTTTCCAGAGCTCCTGGAAGCCCCTGCTAGGCTTAGGCAACAGGCCCAAATCGGTCAGGAGGGCGGCCGGGCGGCCCCCCGAGGGCCGCAAGAGGCCCCAGACACCCACCAGACGCCCGACTACGATCCAAAGAAGACCCTCAAGAGGTTTTCGAAACGCAGAGAATCATTGATTTTAACAGGTTTTTGTTCTTCGGTCTTCTGGGCGTTTGAGATCGCCCAGGAGGCCCGAAGATCGCCCAACAACTGTCCGAAAGGGCTCCAGGCAGCCCAAGAGAGCCCGAAGAAGGCACAACAGGGGCCCACGATGGCCCGAAGAGGGCCCCATGATGGCCCAAGATGGCCCCAATATGCCCCTCGACGCATTCCAAATCGTGACCCCGTCGTTCAGGGAGACCGCGGTTGGAAGCAGGGTGGATCTAGTAAGCTCCAGAGACCCCCACAATGCGCCCAGGAGGCCTACAGACGGCCCCAAGGAGCCTTCAAAAACTGTCGTGAGGCCCCCAAAACGCTCTCCAGGGAGCAGCTTCCGCAAAAAGAGTTGAGGAGGATGGGGAAGAATTCGCAGTGTAGGGCCAAAAGGAGTAAGACGAAGAGGAAGCATGAGGGAAGGATGCAATATTCTTATATCGGCGATGTTGGAAGGCAACGAAGAATTACCGCTAAATTGTCTGTTGTACCTCCTGCCCTTCCGCCTGCATACCAAACTTCAAGGACCAAGGTTCATGGTGCGAAGTGCCGATGCAGTCTTATATACCTATATCTGTATGAACATGAACATACATATACCTATACAGTTGCATAGGTGTGTGTATATAGATGTAGAAAGAGGCATGTCTATATAATGATATAAGTATACAGGGAGATAGAGAGAAAGAGAAAGAGAGAGAGAGAGAGGAAGAGAGAGAGAGAGAGAGAGACCACGACCTCGCCCGCTTGGCCTTAGATAGGCCTGGAAGATGCTGGGCAGTGGTGGCTCGCTCTTACGAGGGCTGGAGGGAGGGGAGAGAGCGGGCGAGGCAAAGGGGGAGGAGGAGAGGAGGGCACCGAGGAGGCGGAGGGTGCTGCCGGAAAGAGGGTGCTCGCTCAGGCTCTGTCCCACCAGAGCGTGGTGCTCAGTCATCAGCACGTCTTCGCGCGGCCCTTGAGCACACTCGCTTCCACGCCCCTGCGATCACAGCATGGTGGGGCTCGCAGGCCGGCGCGGCGGGCCTCGGACCCCAGAAGCCGTGGCCTGAAGATCTGGGGTGTAGCTCCGTACAGCGCAGAGGCCTTACTTCTCCCGAGGCCTCTCATCCATGTCCCCTGTTCCCTGGCATCGCCCGGGCGTGTGCATGTTTCTCTCGGCGAGGACCCTGGAGGAGCATCCTGGGTCATCGAGCAAACAAGAAGACGCACGACTCCGAAACATGCACAGGGAACGGACGTCCGAGCGGTGGCAAGTCCATATTGCTATGTCAGCTGGCGTGGACCCCAAACAGAGCGTGGCCGCACAGTGGAGGCGGAAGCTGTGCGGTCCCTCCTCCTCCTCCTCCTCCGCCTCCTCCTCCTCCTCCTCCTCCTCCTCCTCGTCCTTCGCCTCCTCCACCTCCCCCTCCTCCTCCTCCTACTCCCCCTCCTCCTCCTCCTCCTCCTCCTCCTCCTCCCCCTCTCATCCTCCTCCTCTGCTCTCCTCCTCCCTCCCTCCTCTCCTCCTCCTCCTCCTCCTCCTCCTCTCCTCCTCCTCCTCCTCCTCCTCCTCCTCTCCTCTCCTCCTCCCCCCTCCTCCTAGGTGCAAGCACTGCTTGGGGAATTCCTCTGGACCCTGCGGACACAGTGCCCCCCCCCCCCCCCTCCCTCCCCCCAACAGAACACACGAAAGACGAGACCCCCACTGGATCCGTGGCCCTTCTAGGCCCCCGCGGACGCCCCTTGCAGAAGCCCATCCCCTGGCTTTCCGGGGCTCCCGGAAGCCCCTGCCGGGCCCAGGCATTGGGCCCAGATCGGTCGGGAGGACGGCCGGAAAGGCCCCGCGAGGGCCACAAGCGGCACCAGACACCCATTAGTCGGAAATGGATAGACCTCCTACCTCGACACGTCGATTAGTGAATGGGCCGTTTTCGGTGAGCGAGAGGGCGTCGCGGCCGTTATTTTGCGGGTCTAGGTCCGTCAGTTTCGGTCCTAGGCTGTTTTCATTAAAGGGGGGTTTGTCCACCGCCGAGTGAGACGCCCGAAGGCGATTCAAAGAAGATTCCAAAGAGGCTTTCGAAGCACAGAGTCACGAGGATATCCCCTCGGTTTTGGTATGATTTGGGGAGTGCCAGCCCCATGATGGCCCAAGATGGCCCCATAGCTCCCCCTGAGGCACACCAATCAGGAAGGGAAAACCACAGACACAATGAATCGTCGATTCCCCAGAAAAAAGGGAAAATATGGGAAGGGGGGGGAAGACAACCCCCCAAAAAATATGGGAAAATATGTCGAATAGTTTTATTTGTGTGTGTATTTATTTGTGTGTCCCAGGGACCCTTCAACCAACTCGTGACCCAGCCATTCAGGGAGACCGCGGTTGCAACCAGGGTGGTCCGAGTAAGCCCCCAGAGAGCGCCCAGGAGGCCTCCAGGAGGCCCCAAGAAGCCCTCAAAGACTGTCGTGAGGTTCCCAAGAGGCTCTCCAAGGAGGAGCCTCCGCGAAAAGGGCTGAGGAGGATGGGGACACATTCGCATGCATGGTAGTGCGGGGGTCGAGGAAGAAGAAGAAGACGGAGCATGAGGGCAGGATGACGAATGACATTATTACAGCGGCGGGAATAAGAGGCAATAGTGATTCATCGCTAACTATGTAGTTGTTTACCTTCCTGCCCTTCCACCTGCATGCCAAGCTTGACGGACCAAGGTGCGTGGCGCGAAGCGTATATATATATATATGTATATATATATACTGTCCCTTCTCTTCGTCTCTCTCTCTCTCGCGCGCTACATATAGATATGTGTATATATATATATGTATATGTATATGTATATGTATATGTATATGTATATGTATATGTGTATATGTATGTATGTATGTATACATATATATATGTATCATTTTCTTTTTCAGCGGCACCCCTCCTTTTTTGGGGGTGGTGGTGGTGGTGGTGGTGGATGTTCGCTCTCTTCTGCACGGAAGCGTGGCGAACAGGACGCACGCCCCTTCGGTCTCCTGCCAGCCGCCCTCTCCGCACACCTCCGCACACCGCGCCGAGGTCCTTCCTCGACGACCTCGAGGAGTGCCTGCTTGGTGCCGCCGCGGAGCGCTCGGCAGGCCACTCCCGTGCCTCGCCTGGCGAGGGGAGGAGGAGGAGGAGGAGGAGGAGGAGGAGGAGGAGGAGGAGGAGGAGGAGATGCAGGAGGAGGAGGAGGCGGAGGAGGAGGAGGAGGAGGAGGAGAAGGAGGAGGAGGAGGGGAGGAGGAGGAGGAGGAGGAGGAGGAGGAGGAGGAGAGGAGGAGGACGAAATGCAGAGAAGGACGAGGAGGAGGGGGAGGAGGGAGGAGGAGGCGGAGGAGGAGGAGGAGGGGCACGAGCGCCGCGAGCGCACCGGCACGCGCAGACTGGGCGGGCGTCTGCGCGAGGCGCGGCCGAGTGGGCAGGCCGAGTGCGCGAGCGAGCCAGCGCCTGGCAACCGTTCGGGCCCGCGGCGTGTCTGCTGGCCTGGTCGTCCGCCACTCCGCCTCCAGCTCCTCCTCACTCCTCTTCCTTCCTCCCTCCTCCTCCTCCTTCTCCTCCTTCATTCCTCCTCCTCCTCCTCCTCCCTCCTCCCTCCTCCTCCTCCTCCCCCTCCTACTCCTCCTCCTCCCTCCCTCCTCCTCCTCCTTTTCCTCCTCCTCCTCCTCCTCCTCCTCCTCCTCCTCCTTTTCCTCCTCCTCCCCTCCTCCTCTCCCTCCTCCTCCTCCCTCATCCTCCTCCTCCTCCTCCTCCTCTCCCCCTCCTCCTTCCTCCTCCCCCCTGCTCGTTGTCGTTCTCCTCCTCCTCCTCCTCCTCCTCCTCCTCCTCCTCCTCCCTCCTCCTCCTCCTCCCCCTCCTGCTCCCCATCCCCCCATCGAGGACACGCACGTAGGCTGCCAGGAGAGAGGCGGAGCCTCTCTCTCCTCTTGGTCGGTGCGCTTCATGGAGGACACGTCTTGACCATGGCGAGCTGCTCATCACCATTCTGAAAATGTATGGCGCTGGCCACTTTCTCCTCTCCTCCTCTCCCTCATCCCCCCCCCCATCGGTGGGGAAGCTGGCACTCTTCATGCCGAGTTGCCTTGGTGGAGACAGTCCTCTCCTCCTCTCTCCTCTCCTCTCCTGCCTTCTGCCGTCTGCCGCACTCTATCGATCACTGGATGCTGCCAGAGGGGTGCTGTCGCGCGCACCGCTGTCGCCATCTTCCCGCGCATCTGACTGCGGGCTTCTGCAAAGGCTTGGAGTGGCAGCGGTGCCAGGGCGCCGTGGACAGGTACACCGTCGAGGACCTAGATACGGCGAAGGCTCACGCGGAGCAGCCTTGACCATCCCTCGCCATGAGCGCGGTGAGCCTGGACGCGGCGAAGAAGTTGGGGGATGAGTTGGCGTGCGAGGACACTGTTGGCGAGACTGCGTCTGAGTGGGCAGTCGTGTTTCTTGCTGAGCGTGATGGGCATCTCCGCGCCGACCAGCAGCTTCACTTTCAGGGTCGTTTTTTGTTTCCGAAAGGTTCTACGCCAGAGCGGGCTCCCTGCTTTCCACAGGTATTGGTCCTAATTCTGGAGTGCGTTGTCCGCGATCGGTGGTCGCCCAGGGCCAGGCCTGCCGAGCGCATCGCGCTGACGGTGCCTCCTGCGACGGATGCTTCGGATGTTTGCATGGTGCGCACGGGGACGATCTCCACGATGGTCTTCCTGACGCCGCTCACCTTGCGAACTCTCTCGTCCTTCGGGGTCACAGCTTGGAGTGATGGGCGAGTTCAGCGTTGACTTGCTGCCGACGTGCTCTGGGGGCCGGTTCGCGGCTTGGCCTGACAGACAAGATAGGCACGCAGAAGAACGATCTTTTTATGGACACGTTTCTTGATTAATTTGGTCTTCGGCTCCGTGAGCCCAGCTCTCGCGAAGGCGTTCCTCATGGGCGTTTCGCCGAGGAGGCCTTGTTCGCACCAGCCACTCGCATTCCCGTTGGGGAACAGATCGGCCTTCCGTCCTGGATTGAACATTGCGCGTCGACCGGGGCAGTCGGAACTCTTCGAATCTGCTGGACGGACGTGTGCCCACGGACCACGCGTCGCTCATAGCACGCTGCCGGTGCCTCCCTTCGTCCTGGCGCCAGAGGAGGAGAACCATCTGGAGCTGTCACGACTGGAGCGCTGCTTCAAACTACGCTTGCAGAACTGCTCCCAGAGATTTCGAATCCATGGGCCCGGCATCGCTCGGACGTGTGCGTCCCTTTCCTCGGCGAGGGCCATCGAGGAGCATCCTTTTATCATTTCGCGAAAAAGCCACGCACGAAGCCGAAAAGAGCACAGGAGATGGACGTGCGAGCGATGGCCAAATGGGTGAGCGCATGGATGTCGTGGCCGGCGCGCGGCAGGCCGGCGAGGGGCGGGCGCGGGCACGAGAGGCACGCGTGCGCAGCGACGGCGACCGCGGGAGCGCCTGGCGATCCAGGGCCCCGCGGCGGCAGAAGCGGGGAACCACCTCGGCGGAGGAGCGGTCTCGCCTCAGTCAGCGGATCTGGGATCCCAGACCCCCTCGAGTTATGAAAAGATCGCGACGGGAGGTTTTTCACTATTTTTGGCCTCTGGGGGCCCTTACCGGCCCTCGGGACCGTCCAAAAACGACTCAGGACGAAAAACCGGTCCGGGGGAATGGGTCGAGACCTCCTCCCACGAAACACCCTGCTTGCCTTCAGGGTGCCCTGGGTTTCTTTGGTTTCGATGGTTTTGCTATGGAGAGCGTGACGTTCCCACGCCAAAAATCCTTGGACGTCCTGGTGTCTCAGGGTTGGGTTTCTTGTGGAAAGTTTGTTGTGGACTGGCCTCCACTGTAATCTGGGACGGCGGAGCATTGGCTCGATACCCTCAGGCGCATTCGCCAGACAGCCGACCTTCGGAAAGGACGGCCAATGTGGAACCCGCGGAAACTCCACAGAGCAATTCGCATGAGGTGTTCGCCAACCGGGCCTCCAACGAGAAATCAAGACTCTTGGGCGACACTCATCAGGAGCGAGTTCATGCAGAAGTGGATAGGCGACGACCTGCTCTTGCGCACGACTCTTCTGGACGTTTTCTCCGCCACGGCCTCCCAGGGCATCCTAATCGAACTGTCTGAGGTTGAGGTAGCTGCCATGCAAGTTCGTCGCCGCCGCGCTTTGGATCATTGCGGCTGCAGTGCGATGGGCCTGCGGATTGCTTGCCGGGGAGCTGGCGAGGCCGTGGCCCGCCTCCTCACCAAGATTGTCAGCAGCGCCGACGAGCTCGCGGAGATTAGCATCATTGGCAGGGTCGCGGCCAAGGACCATGGCCCGGTGTGTCCCGACCGTCTCCGAACAATTTTGCCCTTGCCGGTTGTCCTGATCATCCTCGACTCCATCGTCGCCGCGCGCATGAATGCCATGATTGATCAGATAGTGGGCCCGACGGACCCTTGTTTCCTGGAGTGTGCGAGGAGAGGCCGACAGGTCATGGACATCACATTTTCCATGAGCATGGTCATCGAGAAGGGCCCCGACATGTGTTCCGAAACAGCGGTGGCGCAGGCTGACATCAAGCAGTGTTACGACCACCTGCGCCCCCATCTCACCAGGGAGTGGATGGTGAAGAACGGCTTTGGTAGTCCGCTGGCTTCAACTTTCCTGCGACATCAGCTCTGTCCAAGGGTTAGTCTGCGAGTCGGTGGTGTTAGCGCCGAGATTCCACGCCGATGCATCGGGACCCTGATAGGTAGCAAGTCAGCGTCTGCCGCTGGGAGCATACCACCTCTTGACTCCGCCGTCCAGCGGGGAGCAGATTGGAAGACGCGAGGTTTCCTCGCCGACGGCGTCTGCATGGCTCTCGCGACGTACGCGGACAACCTGGTGGCCCCGAGCCACTCCCCAGAGGCCGCGGTCGCTATCTTGGAAGATTACGGGCTGTTTCTCGCGCAGAATCGGCGGTTTCAGAACGGTGAAGACTCGAAGGGGTTTCTTGTTTGCCGGGGTTACCGCGCCGCCATATCCGTCGCGCGGCCATGGCAGCAGCGCAATGTCATGCGATGCCTGGGGCACCGGTTGGAGGACAGCGGCAGTAGCAAGACCTGCTTCGAGAGTGCCGAGCGGAGCATGTGGCGCAGCTTCTTCGGCAATCTTTCCCAGGGGTTGCTCGCTTCCCCGGAGTCAACGAAAAAGAGATTTCTAAAGTCGTCGATTGCGCCGATCGGTTCCTTCCGGTGGCCGAGATGGCCCTACCAGCAGTCGTGCGCCGACCCGCTGGGCCGCATCCAGCGCAAGATGGTGGGCATCCTGGTGAAATTGCGACCAAGCGCTGGTGAGACGGTTGAGTCTTACCGCCGGTGGCGGCGAAAGTTGACAAACGGCTCGGCCGCGAAGGTGGGCTTGTGGAGCAATTTGTGGGCCAAGTCAATGATAACTTGGCACTCGCACGTCCAGCGTGGCCACCACGGTCGTGCATGGTCTGGCCCGTTGCTTCGTTTCCGGCCGTTGAGCTGGTTGAGCCTGCAGCGGCTCGCGAGTCCAAGGCCAACGAGTCCGGGACGCGCACCCGCGCCTACCGTGGCTACGTCCACAGGCGGCGGTGCGAGGGTCTCGAGGCGGCCCAGCGAGCTGCGCCCTAATCGTTTTTCGCTGCTCTTTCCCTCCTTCTGCTCCTCTTCTTTCGCTCGCTCGCCTTGCCTTCTCTCCGTTGCCTTGCAATGTCTATGCAAGCGAAGAGCGTCTAGTTCGTGGCTCTGTGCCTCGTGTGCGTTCTGATCAGACGCGGCTGTCCAAACGCCCCTGAAACTGAAACAGAATGGGTCCCAGCGTAGTGGCACCTCGCAGTGATGCGTATTACTTTCGCATGTCGAAGGATTTGCTTCTTGCGCCCCTTCTACTTGGGCAACAGCGACGCTGAAACAGTGATCATTGTGGGCTCGAGAGGAGCTTTGTCTTTCGGGCCGCTCCGTAGATCCAGTGGTCGGGGGGAACCTAGTCGTGGCCGCGGCTCGCCGTGGTCAGAGAAAAAAACCATTCAGTTTTTTCTTGTTCAGAGATCCTGATGGTCGCACGATGGATGTGCCGGGAGCCCCCCAACCCTTCCGTACAAATCATAGCACGGGTTTGCAGAGCCAGGGTTTTGTGCATCCAGCTTCCTTGTGGGCACAGGGTGTTCAACACAACATGGCTGTTAGTACTAAGCATATCCGACTGCCTTCGGCAAGTCCCGCCACCGTGCCAGCCCACCACCTTGGGTGGCGACTGTTCGAGGGGCCGCACAGGAGTCCGCAACGCGTGACACCTTGGGAGAGAGATCCGTAACATGCAACACTTTGTTTTACGTCGTGTCGGAAATTCTCTTCTCGTGCGTGTCGTCTTCCTCCATGTGTTCAATCCTTTCTTCCGCTCCTGTGGGGCAGTTTGGGGGTGCCTTGGGCCGTTTTGGGCCACTTGGCTGGTTTGGGGCTGTCGTTGGGCCCTGTTGGTCGCCTTGGGGGTCTCTTGCGGCCGTCTTTGGACCGTTTTGGGTCGCCGACGGGTTCTCTGAGTGGGTCCTTGTGGAGACCCTCTTGGGGCTCGCTTGGGGCCGTCCTGGGCCGTCTCGGGGGCCCTCTTGGGCAGTCTTGAGGCCGTCTTGGAGGAGAATTGGGTCATTTGGGAGCCCCCCTGGGCCGTCCGGAGGGAATACTGGATGCCTCTAGGGCCGTCTGGTGCTGCTTCGGGAAGCCCGAAAGACGCCCAAATGTTTTAAAGACCGTGGGGACATGTATGATGTTGGTCATTCAGGCCATAACTGGGGTCTTCCTAGGGCCCCCTTGGACTGTCTTGGGGGCATCTTGGGCCGCCCTGAGGCCACCTTGGGATGTGGAGGACGATCAATGGAGAGGAAGCATGTTGCCAAATAAATTCCAGATGTCTAAAACATGTGTTCAACATGCTCTAAACATGTAGAAATCAGGTTTAACACATGTTTAGAACATGATTCCGATATCTTAAACGCATGTTAAACTCAATGGTAGGACTGTTAGGGTGTCCACTGTCGTGGCATCCGCAAGTCTTGGGCCGCCTTGGAGCCATCTCGGAGGCATCTTGGTACAGATTGGTGGCCTTGGCTGCCTGCCTCGGCCGTCTTGGACGCTCCAGAGCGCGGACCGATCGTTCCTCCTCGTTTGGAAGAGACAGCGCCCCGCGCCCTCCTCCTCCTCCTCCTCCTCCTCCTCCTCCTCCTCCTCCCTCCTCCTCCTCCTCCTCCTCTCCTCCTCCTCCTCCTCCTCCTCCTCCTCCTCTCCTCCCTCCTCCTCCTCCTCCTCCTCCTCCTCCTCCTCCTCCTCCTCCTCCTCCTCCTCCTCCTCCTCCTCCTCCTCCTCTCCTCCTCCTCCTCCTCCTTCGTGCATAGCCGGCCCGATCCGATCCCGCCTCCCCGGGGCCGCGGCGGCGCTGCAGGCGGGCACGGCCTGCAGGCCACCGGCGGCGTGGTGGCCTTGCTGCGGCGGGTGGCCGAGCGCGGGCAGGCTCCGAGCCGCGACGCGCGGGGGGGGAGGGAGGAGGAGGAGGAGGAGGAGGAGGAGGAGGAGGAGGAAGGAGGAGGAGGAGGAGGAGGAGGAGGGACGAGGAGGAGGAGAGGGGCGGAGGAGGAGGAGGAGTGAGGAGGAGGAGGGGAGGAGGAGGAGGGAGGAGGAGGAGGAGGGGAGGAGGGGAGGAGGAGGAGGAGGAGGAGGAGGGAGGAGGAGGAGGAGGAGGAGGGAGGAGGAGGAGGAGGAGGAGGAGGGGAGGATGAGGAGGAGGAGGAGGAGGAGGAGGAGGAGGAGGAGGAGAGGAGGAGGAGGAGGAGGAGGAGGAGGAGGAGGAGGAGGAGGAGGAGGAGGATGAGGAGGAGGTAGGAGGAGGAGGTGGAGGAGGAGGAGGAGGAGGAGGAGGAGGAGGGAGGAGGAGGAGGAGGAGGGGAGGAGGAGGAGGAGGAGGAGGGGAGAGGTGGAGGAGGAGGAGGACGACGAGAGAGGAGGAGGAGGAGAGATGAGGAGGAGGGTGGGAGGGGGAGGAGGAGGAGGAGGAGGAGGAGGAGGAGGAGGAGGAGGAGGAGAGGAGGAGGAGGAGGAGGAGGAGGAGGAGGAGGAGGAGGAGGGGAGGAGGAGGAGGAGGAGGAGGAGGAGGAGGAGGAGGAGGAGGAGGAGGAGGAGGAGGAGGAGGAGGAGGAGGAGGAGGAGGAGGAGGAGGAGGAGGAGGAGGAGGAGGAGGAGGAGGAGGAGGAGGAGGAGGAGGAGGAGGAGGAGGAGGAGGAGGAGGAGGAGGAGGGGTCATCTGTGGCAGCGTTGGGAGGGAGGGGTCATCACAAGCAGTGGCGAAGCGTCCTGGCTGGCCTATAGGCCTATCAAAGAATGTTCGAAGAACTTCTTGTGGTTTCCACGAAGTGCTCTTAGAACAGTTCTGGCCGGGACTGTCTTGTCTTATCGCATCGGGCTTAGATTATAAGAACATTGTTTTTATGATTTGAACATCCTGGGGTTTTAAGAAAATTTCGTGGTAGGACTATAGGAATGCTGGGACGGTCGGTTCCTGCTGCCACTGAGTGGCAGCGTTAGCCCAGGCCTCCCAGATGGGGTCAGAGTAGAGTAGATGGGGCCGTCAGTGGCAGCGTCAGTCCAGGCTTCCCCGATGGGGTCTGAGAGCCAGAAGGGGGAAAGGTACCGATGCCGCTGGCCTTCAATCGTTTTCGCCCTTTTTGGCCCCCCTGGGAGGCCCTCGCCGCCACGGCTGGATTCGCCTCGAAACCCTGGTCAGAACGCAGCCCAGGAGATGTCCAGAGAGTGGCGGTATTGGTATTGGGTTTCCCCAGAGTAGATGGGGTAGGAGGACCGCGCCGCATCGCCGATGCATCGGCGATGCGGCTCGATGCGGAGCCCGATTTTGTCCACGCCGATGCATCGCCGATGCGTCGGCGATGTGTAGGCGATGCGGCGCGATTCTCCGACTCCGTCTACTCGGACCCCACCTGGGAGGTCTCTAGTCAGGGGTGGGGGGGGGCACTAAGCCCCCTCTGCACCTTTCCGAGGCAGCGCACCACAGCCTCCGCTGTACTGGCACCCTCTGGGCGTGGCCCCCTGCGGGGCATCCCGACACCACCTGGCTCTCTGCGACGGACCTCGAGCTTGTCCTTTCAAGTCTGAAGTCTTCAGTTTGGTCCTGACGTCGAGGAAAAACATAGGGGGGACCAGCTCAGGGGGGAAGCATCGACTTGGATCGTGCCCCCTATCGACGATCAATGGGCGTTGGGGGGTAGATGCCCCCCCCCCCGAGCCTAACCCCCCCTCGCGTTCCCCCTCAGGCCAGGCTGGCGGAGACGTGCAACAAACTAGTGCGGCAGGCCTTTTTGCGTCTTCTCGCCGTTCCCTGAGATCTGTGCACGCCACTTTTCCGCATTGGGCGTTTCCGCCTGGTTTCGGCCCCTGGGACCACCACAGGTCGAGTCGGCACGAAAAATGCAGCCGGAAGACGGGGTCTGGTGTTCGGGCCGTGATTGCTCGCGATGTTGCAATGTTTTCGCAACGTCGGATCTCAGGCAGCACAGTAGGCACACGACTAGGAATTGGCCTCCCAGCGGGGACCCCGCGAGAACTTCGTGTCTCCCGATGGGGCCGCGGAGCCCCGGAGCACCCTGCGAGGCTCGGAGTCGACGAAGGATCTGCCCCTGTTTTTTTTACAGCACGATTTCGAAGTTGATATGCCTGCTGTATCTCGGCGGCGAGCGAGGGGGAGAAGTGAGAAGGAGAATGCCTTCTCAGAAGGCGGCGGGACTTCTGAAGCCATCGCGCCTTCTGAGAGGTTTCCTGTGTCTTCGGGGAAGGCTTAGACAACTTTTCAGAAGGCCTGGGGACTTCCGAGCTTTCTGATAAGGCCTGCCCCTTCTCATTCTCCCCCCTCGCTCGCCGCCGAGTATCTCTCTCAGCCGCTCTTCCCAGCCCCGGCCGCATGTTCCGTATTTGACCACTTCCATTGCTGCGAATGTTGCCATTTCTGCTTCGACTAGCCACGGCAATCCCGCGACTGACCGCCAACTTCCGCCTCCTCGGCGCTCTGGTAGCCTTCCTGGAGCAATACCAGTGCCCAACAACTGCAGAACATCAGACATTGCTGTCCATCACCGTCATCACTTCTAGTACGTGGGGAACCAAAAGGTACCGATACCGCCACTATCTGGACCTCTCCTGGGCTGCGTTCTGACCAGGATTTCGAGGCGAATCCAGCGGTGGCGACGAGGACTTCCCGGGAGACCAAAATAGGGGATAACGAGAGAGGGGTAGAGGTGTGGGTACCTTTCCCTTCTCTGAGTATGACTGTCGCGTCTGCAGGGGTGTTTGCCCTGACTTTCGCCTCCGCGAGGGCCGTGTCTTGTCAGACGACGTGGCTTCCAAGAGGGCAGGGCCTTCCTCGCCCTCGCGCAGCTTCTCGCCTCGCCCGCACGGCACGAACCAAAAGCTGGCATCGGCCTCCCAGCGTCCGCCATCCACGGATGGCCAAAACAAGCAGATCGGGGGCGGCAAAGAGGGGGGTGATGACTAGGGGGGGTGGATATCATGACGGGGGCCACGATATTTCCCCAGATTTTACGGCGCCTCTTCTTGTTTCATTGCGTCCCTGGCCCCCCCGCTGGGCCGCGCACATGCCGCCGGTCATGATTTGCACCCCCCCCTCTTGGACACCCCCCTCTTGGCCGCTCCCGAGCCAAAGCAAGCAGAGCCGAGAAGGTTTGCAGAGGGCACGTTCAAGCGTTATTGATCCTACGGCTTGGTCATTGCCTCACTTCGGGGGCGGCAAAGAGGGGGGTGATGACTAGGGGGGGGGGGATATCATGGCGGGGGCCATGATATTTCCCCAGATTTCATGGCGAATCTTCTCATTTCATTATGCCCCTGGCCCCCCCGCTGGGCCGCGCACATGCCGCCGGTCATGATTTGCACCCCCCTCTCTTGGACACCCCCCTCTTGGCCGCTTCCGAGCCAAAGCAAGCAGAGCCGAGGAAGTTTGCAGAGGGCACGTTCAAGCGTCATGGATCCTACGGCTTGGTCACTGCCTCACTTCGGGGGCCTGGGCACAGTGCCGGCGCTTCCCCCGGGCTCCTGCAGCGCGCTGTCCACCTTGGCCCGGTGGTCCTGGGCGGCGGCGGCCGCGCTCAGGACGAGCTTGGCGCTCTGCTCCCGCAGCGCCTCGGCAGGATCAGCACCGGATCGGAGGAGGAGGAGGAGGAGGAGGAGGAGGAGGAGGAGGAGGAGGAGGAGGAGGAGGAGGGAGGAGGAGGAGGAGAGGAGGAGGAGGAGGAGGAGGAGGAGGAGGAGGAGGAGGAGGAGGAGGAGGAAGAAGAAGAGAAGAAGAATAAGAAGACGAATAATAATAAGAAGAAGAAGAATAAGAAGAAGAAGAAGAAAAAGAAGAAGAAGAAGAAGAAGAAAAAAAAGAAGAAGAGGAGGAGGAGGAGGAGGCACTCGCTCCCCCTCCCCCCATCTTCACGACGCGGGTGGGTGTTCTAGTAGACCCTGTCCGGTCGAGTGGGGGCCCGTGCTGTGGCGGGCCGCGGCGCTCCAGGTTTCCCTTCCTTCGCCTGTCGCACGAGAGCCTCTCCTCGCGCCCTCGGCTGCGACATGCTTGCACCGTTGGTCTCTTGAGATATGCGACGCGACGAGGAACAAAAAAGCAGCTCGGCTGTGGCATGCTTGCACCGTTGGTATCGTGAGAGATACGACGCGACGAGAAAAAACAACAGCACCGCGAAACATCACGACCAGGGCCCCAGAGCCCATCTTCGTGCAGCATTTTTTGCGCTGGATACATCTGTCATGGTCCCAGGCGCTACAGCCAGGCGAACACGTTCGGTGTGAAACAGTTGTAGCGCCCAGATCTCAGGGCACATGGTCTTCGAGCCATAACTCTGGCCTCTGGCAGCGTTCAGGGCGATCTGGGCATCCCCAGAGCGCCCTCGGAAAGGCGCAGCTGCTGGAACGCCTCCCGAGGTCGCAAAACCACCAGGAATCGAGGAACATGTCCAAAAACCTCAAGCCTATCCTGACGCTGCGCCTGAAGAGCTTTTCCCTCCTGTATCTGTATCCTCCTCTTGTTCGGGGTTTGGCCAGGGAATCCCCTGGCTTGGGATCCGCCGTACTTTGGTTGAGTTCCCGATTTGAACTTGGGATGGAAGTGAACTTGGGATGGATTTGAACTTGGGATGGAACTTGGGATGGATTGAGCTTGGGAATTCTCCACCTTGGAATAGCAGGGCGGCTGTTTCCGCAGACAGAGTGGCGAACGCGGCGACGGCAAGGCGTGGCGGAAGTCGACGCCCAAAGGAGCTTGCAAAGCGGGGCGCAGGGCGGAATCGCCCGCCCTGCTGACGAAATCGCCCAGAGTAGCGGAGTCGGGCCCCCTCCCTCTTTTCGCTCCAGGCGCCCGGCATCACGGCGCTCGACGCGCCGCAGCTCCGCGAACTGCTCGAGCAGGTGGGCCCGCCGCGCCCTCCCTGCAGCGCCCTCTCGGGGGCCGGAGGACCAAGAGCGGCATGCACGTCGTCTCTCGGGGCGCCGCGCGGATGTCTTGGATCGGCGCTTGGATCCCCAGGACCTGACGCAGGGACCCGATGTTTGCGGCTGCCCCGACGGAAGGTAGAACGAAGAGGAGGGGGAGGAGGAGGAGGAGGAGGAGGAGGAGGAGGAGGAGGAGGAGGAGGAGGAGGAGGACGAGGACGAGGAGGAGGAGGAGGAGGAGGAGGAGGCGGGGGATGCCGAAGAGTAGCAATCAGGAGTAAGCAGCCCTTCGCTCTGTCGTGAGGTTAGAGGGCAACACAAATACGAGCACAATCTTTGGGAGGTCCTCGCGGATTTCTAAGGCGTGCCCAGCGCAGATCCCAGAAGTCTGCGCGGACCTCTGAGAGATCGTTCCCCAAGCAGTGCTCGCAGTGAAGGGGCCTCCGCGGATACAGTCGGGTCGCTGAGGAAGGAACCCTTTTCGTTGGGGATGGGCTCCGTGTTCCTTAAGTGTTTCACAGCTTGCCTCCGGTTTTCCTGGTGTTTTCGACGGGAAATCGAAGTTTGACCCATGGAAAAAAAGGGGCCTCGTTCCTTATTTAGGGTTCCTTAGGTCAACGCCCCGACTGTACTACATGATTCTACGAACGTCCCGCGCCGATTTCGGTGGGCGGCTGGATTCCCCGCATCCTGGCTCTGGGTTCCAAGGCTCCCAGTTCCGGGTTCCGGGCCGATTTCGGTGGGCGGCTGGGTCAGTTCCAGGGTGCCTGGCAGTGCAAGGTTGACTGGGCTCCTGGCCTCCCAGTTCGGTGGGCGGCTGGGTTCCCGGGGTTTCGAGTTCCCGATTTCCGATTCTGGGGTCCCCGACAGTGTAAAGCTTGGTGGGTTTCCAGCTTCCCGGTTCCCGTTTCTGGATTCCTGGCAGTGTATGGTTCTGGGGTTTGGTTTTTTTTTTTGTGGCCAAGCGCTTGGGTCTCTGATCGTAGAGAGTACCAGGGGTCAGAGAGTTTCGAGCAGAGTTCCTCGGGGGGCCGTTCGGCCGCCCTCCGGACCGATTTGGGCCCGGTGCCTGGGCCCAGCAGGGGCTCCCAGACGCTCCTCAAAGCTTGGGGGGCCTCCAGCAGGGGCGTCCAGGGGCCCCCCATGGCCATGGATCCGGGGGGTCCCGTTTGAAGAGGGGGGATGCCGCCCCCTTGCTTGTAAAAATAATAGATATAGAACATGGAATGTGTACGTAGACATGTATACATACATATACATATACATACCCATACATACATACATATATATGTGTGTGTGCTCACTTATAGATGTGTATATTTGTAACAGTAACAATACTAGAGCATGTAATATGTATGCAGATATGCATATAGTTGCCCGCTTATTTATATGCATATATATATATATACATGTGCATGCATGCATGCGTGCATGCATGCATGCGTGCATGTATGTATGTATGTATGTATGTATGTATGTATGTATGTATGTATGTAGGTATGTAGGTATGTAGGTATATATATATATATATATATATATATATATATGTGTGTGTATGTATGTATGTATGTATGTATGTATGTATGTATGCATGCATGCATGCATGCATGCATGCATGCATGCATGCATGTATGTATGTATGTATGTATGTGTATGTATGTATGGTTGTTTGTTTGTATGTATGTATGTATGTGTATGTGTATGTATATGTGTATGTGTATATGTATGGGTATGTGTATGTGTATGTGTATGTGTATGTGTATGTGTATGTGTATGTGTATGTGTATGTCCGCATGTATGTGTGCAGTTATTCGCATATACGTATACACACATATACATGGATGTGTGTGTTTGTGCATATATGCACATATGGGGGAGAGCCTCCCCGGGACCTCGGGAGAGCCTCAGAAGGGGCAATGAGATGGTCCAAGAGGGCCCCAAGAAATTGACAATTCCTGAGAATCTCTCGATGCCCTCTCGGGAGCCCTTTGGGAAACTCTAGGGGGTCCCAACACTGCCTCCCCGGTATTTGGAAAGGTCCTGTGGTACGGTGATGCGGTGACGTTGGTCTGGCCAGCCTTCGGTAATCTGTTCGTGCCCCCAGCCAGCCGTGTTAGGCCATCGGCCCGAAAAGACGGAGGACGGCTGTGCCCCACCAGACCGTATGTATGGCCCGTCGAAGCTTTTGCAGGCCTTTCGCGGAAGACCCCGAGGTGCCATTCTGATTCATGTGTTTTCCATGCCGCATGCATGCTGTCTGGTCGGGCACCGCCGCCCTCGGCCTTTTCTGGCCGGTGACCTGATAAGGCCTGGCTGGGGTTGTCAACGACGCAGCGCGCGCCCAGCGTTTACCGTGGCGCCGCCTGTGACACCATTCACGTGACTGGTACGTGAAGCGTGGGCGGAATTGATCGCATTCCTGTCGCAAGATCCGAGCATTACATGTCTCTTCGGGAGGCCAGGTAGGAGGACCTTGGGCACACTCGGCCGCTGGGGGCCCTGGGAGGCCCCAAGCAGGGCCCCAACTGGATCAGGCCTGTCCTGGAATGTTGGGAGCGAGTTTAGGATTCACCGTGAAGACATGGGCGCGATGCAAAATTTTTGGGGCTGTGGTTTTCCGCGGGCGTTCTGGCTAAAGATAGCCGTCGCCCCCCTCCCCCCCAGGCCACCGTGCCACGCAGCAGCCATGGGCTGCCTGGTGTCGAGGCCTCGGGCCGGAGAGGCGGAGGAGAGCCCGCCGAAGCGCGAGGCCTCGGGATCGGGCGAGGACCTTGGCACCTCCCGCGCGTCAACGGCCCCGTGCGAGCAGTGGCGGTCCCAGGAGCCCTTTCTGCTCGACCTGGTGCGGAGTGGCTCCGGCACCCTGGGCGACGTCTGGATGCAGGCGAGCTTCGAGTCGAAGAAGACAGCGTCGCGTAACCACAGACTTTCGACGCTCCGTGCGGATCTCTTGGATCTGCGCTGGACCCCCCCCCCCACCCTCCCTGGCGCGCGGAGCGCGCCAGGGGCGGCGCCAGAGGCCCCGCCAGGGGGGCCAAGGCGCAGATCCAAGAGATCCGTGCCGAGCGCTGAAAGTTTACGTTTGTGCAGCAGTGTCTTCCTCTGTCAAGATCCAGCTGCGCGTCCTGCTGAGGGCCCACCCGTACCTGGATGCCGGTGGCTCGGCCCAGCCGCACCCGCTGCACTACTGGCTCGGGCGCTGCAGGGAGACGTCCCGGGCGCGGCAGTTCGGTCGCGCCCAGGGCCACCTGCGCCGTCTCCTCGTCGGGGTGCGGGCAGAGGTGATCACCGCGGGCGTTCCACTGCTCGCAGCGTGCCCGCTCGCAAACGTCCGAAAAACTCCTGTTCTCCTCGATGTGCTAGACTGTGCACCCCCCGCGGCGGATCAGGGCCATTTGCGAGCAGTTACTTTGCGAGCAGTGGAACACGTTTGCCTAGGTGAGGCTCGTCGAGGAGACGTTCAGCCGGTTCGACTCGGACCAGTCTGGTGAGATCGACAGCGCGAAGTTCAGGCATATGTGCGCGTACCTCGGTTGGGGCGAGCGCGACGAGAGGGTCATGGATCTTGACGGAGACACAAAGGTCACTCTGAATGATCTGATGCTGTTCGTGGGCCACTCGGGAGGCATCCGCCAGTTCTTCGAGAAACGCCGCCTCAGAATCTCCACGAGCCGCCAGGACGTCGACCACCATTCGGGAGTGGTGGTCGGGTCCAGAGTGAAGGCGCACTTCTATTTTCAGGGTCAGAAGTCCACCGTCTGGCGCGAGGCCACCGTCCGCGCGGTCGGCGTTGCTCGAGAGAGCGTGGATGGCGTGGGACCTGCCACATTAGGCTGCGGGCTTCAATTCAATTTTGGCCCTGGCGGCAAGTGGAAGGCATACCAGGTGGTTCCGATGCACTGGATTCTGGGTCAGGCCCACAGCCTAGAGGTCGAGACGGCTCTAAGGGAGTCTGGCATCGTCGAGGAGCAGCAGTCATATTTCAGCATGCTTCTGCCCGACACGGAGATCCTCACCATGGAGCGTCTGGCAGTGTGCCAGCGGGCGGCCCTCAAGAATGTCAGGCAGAAGGCCACAGAGCGCCATAACGAAGCCATCGGTCCCGCCAGGGAGCGCTTCAAGAGCCTCGGCTATGGCGACCACGTGTTGGGCATGGTGCTGGATTGGGTTCAGGATCTGGCTCCGATGGTCATTCATGTTAAGCTGGACGACGTGGGCCGCTTCATGGAGACCGACGAATATTATCGCAGCCAGTTCGAGACCAAAACCTCGAACGGCGCGAACGACCCGCAGAACCTGACAAGACAGGGTTGGGAGCGGTCCCTGTTCGGCGGCGCCTATGAGGATGCAAAGCCTTTTGAGCGTTGCAAGTATGGCGCCCTCAACGTTATGAACGACTACCGTGGAGTTCTCTCGGCGAAGCAATACGGCGATTCCTACCTTGTGCTCAAGGACGTGCGCATGCGGACAACCCTGACTTACACAGACTCGTCATGCGTCGACATCGAGAGCCTCGGAGTGTTGGACAAGTACGCCCACGTGCTGCAAAGCTACAATGACACCGAGCTGAAAGCTCTTGCGGACGTCGCGGTCGCAGCAGTGACCAGTCAGAGGGTCCTTGGGCGCGCGAGCAGCGGCGGCCCCCAGCTGGAGCTCTTGCGGGGGACCTCCCACGACTCTGGCATGGAGTGGATCACCCTCGGCTTCCCCGAGCTGGGCCAGAATTCTGGCAAGCTCTACCTGGAGGTGCACCTCACCAAGGGGTGCGTGGCGCCTCAAGTCGGCGTCCTCGCATCCGGCTACAAGACCGTGCCATACGCGGCGAGCGCCACGGGCGTCGGCGACGACGAGCTCGGCTGGGCATGCGACGGAGTGAACTCTTCCCTGTGGCACTCTGGGGCCGAGAAACCCTGGGAGGCCCACTGGCCTGCAGAGAAGAACGCCAGCGGAGAGATGTGCCTGGCAGAAGATGCCGTCGTCGGCGTCGCGCTCGATCTGGCGGATCGGACGATTCTGTTCTGCACCAACGGCAAGTGGGATAGGCAGCCTGCCTTCACCTCTGGGGACATTCCCGCAGGCGTGCAGCTCTACCCAGCGCTCTCCGTGAAAGGTCGGGCGGCCTTCTGTTTCGGCGACTTCAGGCATCCCGCCCCGCCCGAATTCCAGCCGTGGCCGGGCATGCCGAGCTGGCCCGTGCGGTGCGACGTCCCCTTCATCGGCGACTCCACAGCCTGCCGGATCTACAAGGAGATCCAGGTGCACGGCGAGGTGCACCTGAAGAGGCACGTGCAGCGCTTGGTGGCGCACAGCAAGTACCGCGAGCGGTCGAAGGTGAAGCGGTCGTACAATCCGAGGACGAGGCAGCAGCAGGATCGACGACACGTAAGAGTGACGCTTCGCCGGAGTGACCTCTGGTGCGGGCCCAGCGGGGTCCCCCGATCGCCGAGCGGCATGCGGTGGTAGCGTCTTGCGCGCCCGTGTTTGGTCCCCCCGCTGCCCCCAAAAAAGCTGCGCACCAAAGGCCACTCTTACCCAGGGTCACTCCTGCGTGTCGCCGACATGAACATAAATGTTCGGAGCCCCGCGCTGACTTCTCGGACCTGCGCTGGGCCGCGCCGGCGGCGCCTCGGACGCCGCCCCGCCGGCGTGCTCCGCGCGACGGCGAGGGGGGCCCAGCGCCGATCCAAGAAATCCGCGCGGACCTCCTCCTCCTCCTCCTCCTCTCCTCTCTCCTCCTCCTCTCCCCTCCTCCTCCTCCTCCTCCCCTCCTCCTCCTCCTCCTCCTCCTCCTCCTCCTCCTCCTCCTCCAGTTTGATGCTGTTTTTTGGTCCTCTGAATCTGCTCGTGTCGAACGCGGGCGGCCTCGACGGCACCTTCATGCGCATGGGTGCCCACCAGGGCCGCCCTCTCTACAAGAGCGAGGGCGGCGCCACGGTGTACTGGGATGCGGAGGCGAAGCGGTGGAAGCTGAACAGCTCCGAGGACTTCTCGTCGTTCGTTACGTCTGCCCCTGACGGTGCTGGCGACGTCCCCCCTCGGCGCGGATGGGAGGTGAAGTATGAGATGCGTGGCGTGTTGTCCGTCGATTGTTTCAAGAAAGGCATGTCGAAGCTCAAGGTGAGCCAAGCAAACGTCGGCACCCTGGTGAAAGCGCTCGCGCGAGAAGGCGACGTTGTGTTCAAAGAGACAGAGAAAACAACTTTCGAAAGGGAATGGAAGAAACTGAAGAGCACCACCTGTGATGCCGACGAGGCTTGGGCTGTTTTAGTGAAGGAGGTTCAGTCCGAGGTTCTGAAGGCTGCAGGCTTTGACCGCCGCTGCGAGGTGTGCGAAACAGAGCACCCATACTCAGCTAATAAGTTCAGTTGGAGCAGGCAGATTCCGATGAAGTCTGGGGCTATGCGCGTCCTCTTCTCGCCAAAGTGCCAGACGTACGACAGCCGTGCGGTCTTCAGTATCAACTGCGGCGGCATGCCCCGGAAAGCTGCAGGCCCAGGGTCGCGCGTGGAGGTGTCAGTGGATGGGAAGACGATCTACGGCACCGTGTCGGGGCGCCCCGACAATGGACTGAATTGGAAGGTGCGCCTGGATCGCCGTGCAGCGCTGGCGTCAGGCTCTCTGGCTGAAATCAGTTCGACTGTTGTCCCAGAGTCCGTGGGCACATGCCGGCGCAACGAGCATTACTATCGAAGACGCCTACGGCGAATCACCGCCGCCCCCTGCCTTTGTGGAAGCGCCTATGTGGCCGAACGTTGAGGCCAGACCTGCCAAGCCATCGGACCATGTGTTCCCCGAATCGGTTTGGAAAGCCTTCGGGGAACACGTGGGCGTCTTGATGGTCATCGTCGCCGTCTTGGAGGCCTCTTGGGCGATCTTTCGGCGATCTTTGGGGGCTCTTGGGCCGTCTCGGGCCGTCGGAAGGCCGAAAAAAGGGAAATGCCCAAATCCATCAAAAACCTTGGGAAAATCAGTGATTTTGGCATCTTTTGGCCTTCCTGGAGGCCCTCTTGGGGGCCTCTTGGGCCCTTTTGGGCCAGCTTCGAGCCAACTTCGGCCATCTTGGTGGGTTCCTGGCACGTCTGACGCCGTCGGGAGCCGTTTTGGGGGCCTTTCTGGGCCAACGGGGGACCCTCTTGGGGCGCTCCAGGGCCGTCTTGGAGGCCATCTTGGGCGTCTTGGAGGCCATCTTGGGCGTGTTGGAGGCCTCTTGGGCCTCTTGGGGCCCTCTAGGGGCCATCTTGGAGGCCACTTGGGCCATCAGGGGGCTCTCTTGGGGGCCTCTTGGGCGATCTTGGGGGCTTCTTGGGCCGTCTTGAGCCGTCGGAGAGCCGAAAAGGCGCAAATGCCAAAATCCTTCAAAAACCAATGGAAAATCAATGATTTTGGCCTCTTCGGACTCTCCTGGAGGACCTCTTGGAGGCCTCTTGGGCCGTCTGGGAGGCCTCTGGGGGGCCTCTTGGGCCGTCTTGGGCCGTCTTGGACTCTCTTGGGCCGTTTTGGAGGCCGTCTTGGACCATCTCGGGCGGACTTGGAGGCCATCTTGGGCCATCTTCGCGATTTTTTGAGGATGTCCCGAGCGAAACGGCCGTTCTTGGAGGATTTTTTGCGGTCGTTGAGCACGTTTGGGGAAATTCCGGGTGGCCGGCGGGTTCTGCCGGAGCCCACTGGGAAGTTCTTTTGGAAAAAGAACCAAAACCAAAACCTGAAACGTCCAGCACGCCGTGCAAGCAGGGGGCGGCGGATCCAGCTGACTGTGGCAAGTCCCGCCACCGTGCCAACGCAGCATTCTGGTCAGCGGTTGTCCTCGAGGGGGCGTGGGAGGCCGTCACGTGTGATACCTCGGGGGTGGTGCACGCACCCGTCTGCTACTAGAGGGGGGGGGGCCCTAGAAGATTACACAGGTCCTCCCAGACAGTACCTGGCATTCTACCACGCCTCGGCGTGCCAGGGGACACAGTGGCGGATTGCACGGTGGTTCGTGTGGAGAAGAAGAGCTCGACGAGGGTAAGCGTCGTGTACGACGCGCACGGCGACATGACCGACGGGCCCATGCAGGATCCGATGGACTCCAGGCTCTTCTGGAACGGCAGCCACATGGCGGCCTCCTCGGGTGCGCCCATCGAGACGAACCGTGACTCGCACTGCTCTGGCACGCTCTTCTTCGACGATGTGCCCTCCATGGAGGATCTAGAGTTCGAGTATGGAAGCAGTGGGTACAGCCGTGTTAAGCTCAGTGAAGTAGTGGAGGCTTGCCAATTTTCTGCCGGAGAGAGCGTTGAGGCCATGCGCAACGGAGATTGGGACCTCGCCGAAGTCGTCGAGGCAAAGCCACCTGATACTTATGTCATCAAGTGGGCAGATGCAGTCGGCGACAGTGAAGGGCTCGAGATGCCTGTCGATCAGGTCCGAAAGAAGCCAGAGGAATCGGATGGCAACGTTCTGGAAGACATCAAACGATGCAGAGGCTCTCACTGGGACTCGGAGTGCTTCGCTAGCTTTGCCGAGTCCCCCAAGATGGCAATTGTTGAGTACCTCGACGCCTCCAAACGACGAGACTATCGGACATCCGCTGCCACGAAAACTAACAACAAGAAAGTAAAGCAAAAGCGACAGCCCACCCCAATCAAGATGAACCATGTCGGAGAAGAGATCAAGGCTTTCGATTTGGACTTGGCCCAACCGCTCACCCCGATCCACATCAAGGAGTTCGTTGCTAATGGTCCAGCGCAACAGATGGGCGTCTGCGAAGGCTGGTTCTTGGACATCGCTGGCACAATTATGGGAGACTCCAGCAGACAGTGGGCCAGGCTCCTCAGCGGCTTCGGCGGAGTCGATTTCACCGATTCCGATAAGAACACTGTCATGCTCGATGCCGCAAACGACGAGAGCGCAGAGGTTAGGTTGAGTCCGCAGGAGGGACACCGGCACAAGTGGTATTGTGGGCGAACTCTGGGCAAGGAGGCCATTCCTGGCTCCAACGGAAGGTGCGGCCCCAATAATGGGCCACAGTGTGTGCCGTGCAGGAGGTTCCAGGAAGCGTTCCAGATTAACGACGCTCTCGCTCCTGTGAGCTTGGGCAACCGCCAGGACTTCACAACCTTCTGGTATTGCGGGGGAGAGTCGGGGGACGGCTGCTGCTCACCTGGCTCGGGGCCACAGTGCCAGTCATGCAAGCGTTTTCAGGACAGGCTTGACGCACTCCAGTCACCCGCCAAAGACAGGTTGTTTGCCGAGCGGCTGCAAAGGCTTGTCGATGCCTGCTTCCAGGATCCCAAGGCCTTCCTGGACAGGCTCACTGCTGCCATGGCGGACGGAACGCTCCAAGACGTTGCCATGGTATTCACGAACAGCGCAAGCCTGCAGGAGCCGAAGCTGCTGCCAGATGTGCACGTCGTCTACCCAGAGGGCCAGCGAGTTGGGAGCGAGGTCCGCCTCTTCCAGACCTGCGAAAAGGTGTCCTTGCCGGAGTCTACGCCTGGCGTGCCTTCGCACATGTCCAAGCACCCGTACGGCTCGGGCTTCGCTGGCTTTCGCGGCCGGGGGATGAGGGGGGCCGCGCCGCAGCAGCCTGGCCAGGCTGTCCAAATCGAGGAGTTTCTGAAGAAGGGCGTGGCCCACGCAGCCGGCGTGCGCGAGTACTGGAGCTTGGACGTCGAGCGGACGTTGTCCCTGAACGGCGCCAAGATGGCATCCCTAACATCGGCCGAGATCGTCGAGAACCCCAATGTCTTGCTGGCGCTGTCTGGCGTGACGCTGGTATTCGAGCACCCGTGCCCAGTGAAGAGGACTCAGGTCTCGTGCCACGGGCCCCCTGGCGCGTCCAACTGGAAGGCCGGCCTCATCACCGGGAGCGCGGCCGACGTCTGCTTCAGCACCGACGGCGACGGCTCGATGCACCCCAGCAGAAGGTGGGGCTTCCGCGCCATGTTCCTCCCGTTCGACGTGCCCCGACCCTCGGCGGAGAAGATGGACCAGCTCTTCCAGAGCTTCGAGGAGGCGACCAAGCGCGCCATCGGGGTTACCGAGCCGATGGACGTGCAGCGCGACGACTGGGACGAGGCACGGCTTCGGGCTCTGTGCGAGCAGCACGGCTGGGAGTTCTCGTGGATGACGGAAGACGGCGAGTTCCAGCGGCGGCAGAGGGAACACGCCTCGTTTGACGTCGACACAGTGGATGTCGCGAGGATTCGAGCTCTGTCGGCGCGTTTCGGCGCCAGGGCGGAGGCTCTTGCGGCCGACGAGCCACGCGAGGAGGTTGATGCGACACCGGCCGAGGTTTAGATTGCTTGTCGCGTTGTGTGCGTGCTTCCTCTTGCCCTTCAACTTCCCCCGTCCCTCTTCCCTCTCCTCCTCTTCCTCCCCCTACCACTCACCGCCTCCGGGCGGCCTCGTGCAGCAGGCCGCACGGGTTGGCGCCCCAGGAGGACTCGTTTTGCGCCCTGCTCCTGGCCCAATCCTTACAACGGTTAGACATGCCCAGCGCCCTGATGTGCGGAGGTGACGAGTGTGCCCTGGCGTTGTGGAGGACGATCAGCGGAGAGGGAGCATGCTGCCAAATCATCTCCAGGTGTCTAGAACATGTGTGAACATGCTCTAGACATGTGTAAGCGCATGTTTGAGACATGGTCGGAGCATTTTTCCGCCACTTCTGACACATTTCAAGCTCAGCGATAGGGCTGTCAGGGCGCCCACTGCCGTGGCACATCCACAGCCCTGGCGGGCGGGGACCCCCCTCCCTCCCGGCGGCCCCGCGCCCCCCCTCGGCGGGGCGCCGGGGGTGACGCATAGCCCGGAGGCCGCCCGCGAGGCTCTGGCCGAGGGCTGCTCTCTCCGGGGCTTCGTCCCCGCGGGGCCCGAAGTCGGCTTCCTGGGCCACCAGTAGGGGAACGAGAAGTGGCATACCGTCGGGGCCCTGAAGAAGGAGCCCTTTTCGTTTGGGGGGGGCTCCGCGTTCCTCAAGTGTTTCGCAGCTCGCCTCAGGCTTTCCTTGTGTTTTCGATCGGAAATCGAAGTTTGACTTATGGAAAATAGGGGCCTCGTTCCTTATTTTGGGCTCCTTAGGTCAAGGCCCCGACTGTGCACATAAAAACTCGGAGGTCCGCGCGGATTTCTCGGATCGGCGATGGGGCCCCCTGGCGGCGCCTCCGGCGCCGCCCCTGGCGCGCGCTCCGCGCGCCAGGGAGGGGGGTCCAGCGCCGATCCAAGAAATCCGCTCGGACCTCCGAGTTTTTATGTTTATGTCACGTCTCGTTTCCCCACACCAGCCCGCTCTCTGGTCGAAGAACAAAACACGGCAGAAACACCATTTCTCTGTCGGGTGTTGCTAGAAGTGCCCCTGGCCCAGGGTGCCCCCGGCTGTTCGCTCCATTTTGGAGCCCCTGGGGTCCTCTGGGCCTCGTGAGGGGTGCCCTGGAGGCGCGAGGGCCATCCCGAGAATCCTGGGGGGCACCTTGGGCCAGGGGGGAAGGAGGAGGAGGAGGAGGAGGAGGAGGAGGAGGAGGGAGGAGGAGGAGGAGGGGAGGAGGAGGAGGAGGAGGAGGAGGAGGAGGAGGAGGAGGAGGAGGAGGAGGAGGAGGAGGAGGAGGAGGAGGAGGAGGAGGAGGAGGAGGAAGGAGGAGAGAGGAGGAGGAGGAGGAGGCGGAGGAGGAGGAGGAGGAGGAGGGAGGAGGAGGAGGAGGCGGAGGAGGAGCGGAGGAGGAGGAGGAGGAAGGAGGAGGAGGAGGAGGAGGTCCGCGCGGATTTCTTGGATCGGCGTTGGGCCCCACGGGCGCCGCCCCTGGTGCGCTCCGCGCGCCAGTGAGCGGGCCCAGCGCCGATCCAGGAAGTCCGCGCGGAGCTCCAAAAGTTCCTGCTTGTGTCACAAGCTCAGTCTTGGCATCGCTCGGACGTGTGCACTGTTTCTCGGCGAGAGCCAGCGAGGACCGTTCTGGACCATCGAGCAACAAAAAAAAAAAAATAATAATAATAATAATAATATTTTTTTTTTGTTTTAAAAAAAAAAAAAAAAAAAAAAAAAAAAAAAAAAAAAAAAAAAAAAAAAAAAAAAAAAAAAAAAAAAAAAAAAACGCGCGAAACCGACAAATGCGCGCGGGAAATGGACGTCCGAGAGCGAGGGCAAGTTGTGAGTCTGTGCTTCTGCTTCACGAGGCTCCGGCCGAGGAGCGCGCGTCCCCGCGGGGCCCGTGGCCCGAAGTCAGCCCCTGGGCCGCCGGCCAGCCCTTGTACCCAGCTGGCTTGCCGAGCGCTGTGCTGCAAAGCTTCGGCCATGCGCGCCGCCGCGGGCCCTCTGCGGGGGCCAGCCTTCTGTCGCGCCTGTCCCCCACACAGGGGGGACTCTCGAGGAAAAATCAAAGATACCCCAAGCATACCCCCAAAAGGTCAAAAAATACTCCCAAAATAGTCCCCAGACTATTTTTGGATTATTTTTAGGGTATCTTTAATTTTTCGTCGAAAATCCCCCTGTAGGGGGACAGGCCCGACATAAGGCCAACCTCCCCTCTGTTCGGTGCCCCGCACTCTGCCGCAGAACCCCGGCGCTCGCGAGCTGAAAATACAAGTTCGGGGGCTGCGGCTTTGCACATGACAGGAGTTTCGGGGATGGACAGACTTCCTACCCTGACACGTCGATTGAGGAATTGGCCGTTTTCGGTTCGCGAGAGGGCGTCGCGGCCGTCATTTTTGCGGGTCCAGGTCCGTTGGTTTCGGTCCCAGGCCGTTTTCACTAAGGGGAGGTCTATTAAAGGGAGGTTTGTCCACCGCCGAGAGTTGGGTGCGCCTGCCCGTCAGAGATGGGTTCATTCTAAGACGCCCACAACCGCGGGTCCGTCGAGAGAGTCTGTCAAGAGGGTCCGTAAGGAGCCCCACCTTTGAGCGCTCATTTTTACAAAGTTTCTTGACGGCCCCCGCGAAAGGCCGAAGCAGTCTTGATGCAATATTGGGTCCTTACGGAGCCCGTTTGTTCCGCGGCCCAATGCGAGGTCGCTCACACCAGGTTTTGAAAGGACGGCAGATCTTGCAATGTGAGGCGAATTACCCCCGTCACAGGGGGGATTAGTTCTGGGGGCGCTTTGGGCCGGAGAGGGTGATCCAACATCACTTGGCAGTCGGCATGGCCCGGAGGAAAAGATGGAATCAATGGTATTGGCAAGCCCTCGTAGACGGTGGTATATGTTGCGAATTTGGGTGGCATTGCCTTGATAGGCCTCTTGCGCGCATGTTTGATCGTCTTAGCATATCGTAGAATGTAAAATTTCCATCACTGCACACCGAGAACTCAAGGTCTAGGGTGTGGGGATCCGGGCTGGGGAAGTGTGTGATCTCCTTTGGGTGTGGTCCCCCCTCAGTAGTGGCGATGCACAGTCCAGGTCGTATGCGAGTCTTGGTCGGGGTACCCGTAGAAAAGAGCTCATCGAATCCGAGCTCATGGGTTGCTGGCCCGCCATGGCAGCGACACCGACGCCCGCGAAGCCCACTGCCACGGAGAGCCGTCACACCCCCGGGCGCCCCCCTTCGGCACAACCAGTACAGTCGGGGCCCTGAAGAAGGAACCCTTTTGGTTGGGGAGGGGCTCCGCGTTCCTTAGGTGTTTCACAGCTTGCCTCAGGTTTTCCTTATGTTTTCGATCGGAAATCGAAGTTAAACTTATGGAAAAAAAGGGGCCTCGTTCCTTATTCAGGGTTCCTCAGGTCAACGCCACGACTGTAGGCGCAACGCATGGCCACGGAGCGCCCCCATGGGAGCAACCTCTGGCGCAGCCCAGCGCCGCAACCTCTGGCCACGCGAGACCCTCACCTCACGCCCCAAGGCGACCCGAAATCTGAGCGCCAGCCAGGGTGCGGCCCGTGGGCGCCACGCATGGCCGGCAGGAAATCCTGGCACCCCGAGGCGCAGCCCACGAGCGCCACCCGTGGCCACGGAGCGCCACGCACCCCGACGCCCAGTGTCGCAAGTCCAAGTCCTCCTGCTCCTCCTCGTCCTCAGGCGTCCCTCTCCTCCTCCTCCTCCTCCTCCTCCTCCTCCTCCTCCTCCTCCTCCTCCTCCTCCTCCTCCTCCTCCTCCTCCTCCTGGTGTCTCCTCCTGCTCGTCCCCTCCCCCTCCCATAGTCCAAGTGTGCAAGCATTGTTTTTGGAAAAGACCTGCGCGCCGGCCGGACGAACTGGGCGCACCGCTCGACAGCTCGGGCCTGCATCCTTGCGGCTTCGCCCCTCGTCACGCTGCCGGGCTCCCTCGCGCACGGCCGTGCCGGGGCACCGGCGCACGCCGCCTCTGGCAGCCTGCACACTCCCGATTGGCGGTCCTGCCATCCAGCCCTTGGCACAGGAAAGGAGGCAGGGACAGAGGCCGTGGCCACCGCGGGCGCCAGCCGTGGTGCCCGCGTCGGCGGGTGCCGGTTCAGCACCTGAGGCACTGCGGTCCGCGGTGCCTGGCCCCGGGGAAGTCCGCCTCGCTGCTCTGCCAAGGCCACCCCATCTCCTCCTCCTCTCTTCCTCCTCCTCCTCCTCCTTCCCTTCTTACATCCTCCTCCCATCCTCCTCCTCCTCTCATCCTCCTCCTCCTCTCTCCTCCCTCTCTCTCCTCCTCCTCCTCCTCCTCCTCCTCCTACCTCTCCTCCTCCATCCGCCGCGCTGCTCTGCCTCCTCCCACCCATTTCCTCCTCCCTCCTCCTCTCCTCTCCCTCCTCCTCCCTTCCTCCTCTCCTCCTCTCTCCTCCTCCTCTCCTCCTACTCCTCTCCTCCCTCCTCCTCTCTCCTCCTCCCTCCTCCTCCCTCTCTCCTCCTCCTCTCATCCTCCTCCTCCTCCTCCTCCTCCTTCCTCCTCATCCTCCTCCTCCTCCTCCTCCTCCTCCTCCTCCCCCACCACCTCCTTTTCCACAGGAGGTCCACCCCTGGACCGAGAGCGCAGGCGCTCGGAAACCCTGGGCAGGGCAGGGGGCCACTTGCTGGCACAAACTTTGGCGCAGCAGGCATGCCTCCCCGAGTCTCCCCATGTGCCAGCGCCTTCTTTACCTCCTTGGATAATCTCAGGAGGGAGAACACACACACACACCCACACACACACACACACACACACACACACACACACACACACACACACACACACACACACACGCACACGCACACGCACACGCACACGCACACGCACACGCACACGCACACGCACACGCACACGCACACGCACACGCACACGCACACGCACACGCACACGCACACGCACACGCACACACACGCACACGCACACGCACACACACAGACACAATGAATCGTCGATTTCCCAGAAAATATGGGGAAATATGCGAATTGGGGGGAAGACAGAAACCCAGAACATATGGGAAAATATGTGGAATCTTTTTATTGGTGTGCATTTATCTGTGTGCCCCAGGGCCCCCGTCATACTCGTCGGCGTGGTCATGGCCTCCTTTCCTGTGCAAGGTGCTGGGCGTCAAGGCCGCCGGTGGGGAGTGCAGGCTGCCGGGGTCGGCGTGCGCCGGTGCCCCGGCGTGGCCGTGCGCGAGGGGGCCTGCGCCGTACGATGGACGGCGCGGGTGCCCGCGGCCTCTCTCGAGCGGCACGGCGCCTCGCCGCCCCCGCTGCGGCGCCCGCAGGGCCCGTCCACGGAGGCCTTCGCGGCAGAGGCCTTGGCTCGTGGCACCGCTCTTGGCATCGCTCTTTCTCCGCGGCGAGGGCCATGGAGGGGCATCCTGGACGACTCAGCGGAAAAGGCACGCACGATATCGACAAACACACGAGGAATGGACGTCGGAGCGATGGCAAGGGCTCCGTCTCCTCCGTCTCCTCCGCTGCTCCACGCAAGCGCTTAAATCAAGGAGCACGAAACAGTGGAAAGTGGAGGGCTTGTGAACCGCAGCCCGAAGGTTACGTTGCACCTCAGGGGGGCCATGCCTGTCCTTTCCTGGTGTGGTGAGAGAAGGAAGGAAGAGGAAGAGGATGAGGAAGAAGAGGGGGCCTCTTAAGGCCCTCTTGGGGCCGCCTGGGGGCTCCCTGGGAGCCTGTTGGGGCCTCAGAGGGGTTTCTTGGGGCCTCCTGGGGTCTCTTGGGAGCCTCCTGGGACCTCTTTGGGGCCCCCTGGGGGGCCTCTTAGGGAACCTTTATAGGGAGGCCATATTGGGATCCTATCTGGGTAGTCGTGGGTCCCTCTTTGGGCGCGTCAGGGCCGTCTTGGAGGGCTATGGGGCCGTCTTGGGGCCGTTTTGGCGGCCTCTTGGGCAGTCTTGGGGTTGTCTTGCGGGTTTCTTGGGGGTCTCTTGCGCAGTCTGGGGGCGACTTCGGAGGCCTGAGGTGCCATCTCGAAGCGTCGGAAGCCCGCAAAGGTGAGAACGGCAAAATGATTGAAACATTCACGGTAAATCAATGATTCTGGACCCTGGAGGTCCTTTGGGTGCCCTCTTGGGGCGTCTTGGGGGCCTCGTGGGCCATCTGCAGGACACCTTGGACAGTCTTGGGGCCATCTCGGAGGCTGTCGTGGAACTATTTTGTAAACCATCGTTGCCGTCGTGGAGTCCGTCCTGGGGCCCTCTTGCGCTGGAAGGCCGATGGAACATGGACTTTCGGCAGCTTTTGGGTGGGCATCTCCCTGACATCGCTGGACTCGAGGCGGCCTCGCATTCCCTGCGCTGATCTTGCCATGCCGCCCGCCCCAGCTGTTCGAACCCAGTCTTTTGAAAACGCTCAGCTCGGGACAGTCGAGCATGCTGCCGGAAAAAGTTCGCTGCGCGTGGCATCTCGGTGGTGCGGCCGGGACAGGAGGCCCCGAAGCAAACCAAAAGAGCAGGTGGATATCCTACCTCCGGCGGTGGCCGAGAGGGATGTGATGACTAAGGGGAGTTGGTATCATGGCCAGGGACATGACATCTGCACTGATTTCGGTGCCCACCTTTTGAATTTCGAGACGCCCCTTGCCCCTCCCCCCCCCCTGAGCAGCGCACGTGCCTCGGGCCATGCTCTGCGACCCCCCCTCTTGGACGCGCCCCTCCTGGAGGCCCCCATGCCTGCCGATAGAGGGGCGGGGCCGGGCAGCCCAGAGGATCAAAAACCTTCCAAGCGGAGGTTCGGCCTTCATCTTGGCATCGCTCGGACGTGTGCATTTTTCCTTCGGCGAGGACCATCGAGGAGCATCCTTGATCATTTGGCGAGAAAAACCCACGCACGAAACCGAAAAAGAACACAGGGAATGGACGTCCGAGCGATGGCGAGTCACTCCAGAGCATTTCTTCCTCCGTGCCGAAGGTTTTCGGGCGGACGGCAGCGCGGGGGGGGCAGTACACGCGGGGAGGGAGGAGGAGGAGGAGGAGGAGGAGGAGGAGGAGGAGGAGGAGGGGAGGAGGAGTGGAGGAGGAGGAGGAGGAGGAGGAGGAGGAGGAGGAGGAGGAGGAGGAGGAGGAGGGGGGAGGGGGTGGGGATCGGGGGCTGCAGGAGAGCGGCCGCGGGTGGCCCCCAGACCGCCACCCGTGGGCCCGAGAAAGTGCGCAGAGGGGGCGCCACGCGTCTCCGCCCCACGTCGAGCACCTCCCCCTCTCCACGAGCACCTTATCAGTAAGGAGGGGGAAAAACACACGCAGACACAACTAATCGTCGATTCCCCGAAAATATATAGGAAGATATGGGGAGTGGGGGGGGAAGGCAAAACCCCAGAACATATGGGAGAAAATATGGCGAATCCTGTTATCTGTGTGTATCTACTTGTGTGTCCCAGGGCCCCTTCTTATAGGTTTTTCTGACCCCCCGGTGAAGGGCCGACCTCCGAGGTGCAGGCTTTCGATCCTCTGGGAGCGCAGGGGGGCGCCTGCCCCGCCGAGGTCCGGCGGGGTGCCCACGTGGCCGACGTCTGGAGCCTCCAGGCCGCGGTGCCTCCGGAGGGCAACGCCGCACACCTTGGCTTTTCTGCCGCCGCTCGGATCGGCGGCCCGGGGTGGCGCGATCGCCGCTCGCCCAGGGAGGAGGAGGAGGAGGAGGAGGAGGAGGAGGAGGAGGAGAGGAGGAGGAGGAGGAGGAGGAGGAGGGGGAGGAGGAGGAGGGGGAGGAGGAGGAGGAGGAGGAGGAGGAGGGGAGGAGGGGGAGGAGGGGGGGGGAGGAGGAGGGGGAGAGAGAGGAGGAGGAGGAGGAGGAGGAGGAGGAGGAGGAGGAGGAGGAGGAGGAGGAGGAGGAGGAGGAGGAGGAGGAGGACCACGGCGACGACGACGAGGAGGTGGACGACGATGACAACGGCAGCAGCAGAGGCGCGGCGGAGCAGTCTCAGAGGGGAAGAAGTTACCAATACCGCTGCTCGCCGTGGAGAGCTCTCGTCGCCACGGCAGGATTCTCGTCGGGAGTCTGGTCCGAGTGCACCCCTGGAGACTTCTGCGGAGTAGCCGTATGGGTATTCTTCGGTTTCCTGAGATGGCTGAGGAAGGGGAGGAGGAGCAGCCGAAGAGGAGCAGCCATACATAAAGGTAAGCTTTTCGGAGGTCCGCGCAGATTTCTTGGATCGGCGCCGGGCCCCCGTGGTGGCGCTCTGGACCGCTCCGGCCAGCCCCTGGGCGGCGACCGCGGCACGACAGCTCGGCACAGGCCGTGGGCTCGGTGGAGGTTTCAGCAGCTGTCCCTTCGGAGGCGCGCCAGCTCCCACCCGCTGCACAGGCAAGGACACGTGCTGTTCGCTGATGGGCGTCTGCGTTGCGCGACGTAGTTATCTTCAACTGCAGCCTTCCTTCTATTCTCTCCCGCGGCCCGGCCATTCTTTCCAACGGTTGCCTCGCTGCCCCAAATATTTTGTCCTACAAATGGCCTCGGCAGGATGCGATTTTACCCCGTCAACGAAGGTAGATTTAAGGAATATCCAACTTCTACTCTTTCCAGCTTCCCTGTATTCTTTCTGACGAGGCTTGGAAAAGGCTTGTAGCTTCCTGGCGTCGTTTCAATGCCATCGTCATCACTCGCCACGGCATCTGTCACCGCAGTGCAACCACGGAGCTGAACCTCGATAGTGGAGCTTCGACCTTCATTCTGGAGGCATGGTCCCTCCATTCTGGAGCTTTCTTTGCATCCATGTTGTCCAGTGCCGCCGCATAACGGTGTGGCACCAGCGCCTCGCCAGGTTGTGGCATGGGCGCTTCCCGTCGGTTGGCGCATGAGAGCGACAGCTTGTCTGTGGCGCGCTGCACCTCCAGGAGCGGGCGCTGCCTATCGTGACAGCTGTCCTGCGTGTCCTGGGTCGACGCCGCCAAGGGGCGGATGCCGGCACGAGTCTCGGCATCCGAGGCGAGCGGCTCCTCGGCCAGCGTCTGCAGCAAAGCCTTCACACCGTGCCGCAGGCGCAACCCCAGGCGCGGCCACCCCTGAATGTTGTATTCCGAGAGCTTGCCCAGCGTGTGCACGAGCATCTGCATCATACCGGAGAAGAGCCCCAATCAAAGTCTTATTAGGGCTATAGGGCTATGGGGCTATAAGGCTATGGAACTGTAGGGCTATGGGGCCATAGGGCTATAGGTCTATAGGGCTACAGGGCTATAGGACTATAGGGCCATAGGGCTATAGGGTTGTAGGGCTATAGGGCTATGGGGCTATGGGGCTATGGGGTTATAGGGCCATCGGGCCATAGGGCTATGAGTATGTAGGGCGATGGGGTTATAGGGCTATAGGACCATAGGGATATAGGGTTATGGGGCTATAGGGCTATAGACATATAGGCATATGGAGCTATAGGGCTGTAAGGCTATAGGGCTATGGGGCTACAAGGCTGTAAGGCTATAGGGTTATAGGGCTATAGGGCTATTGGGCTATAGGGCTAATGGGGCAATGTGAGGGCTACAAGGTTATAGGGGTATGGGGCTATATGGCTATTGGGCATAGGGCTCATGGGGCTATAGGGCTATAGGGCTATAAGGCACCCGGGCACCCGGGCGGGCCGCGGAAATCGGTGACACACCTCACCGAACCATATGAATCCGCTAGGACCCCTACAGAGGGAAGCTCTGATTGGGGAATATACCACGTTGCAGGCGCTCAGTGGAGTTGTTCTGGCTGTTGAGGTCGGTCGCTGCCGTTTTGCCGCCATCAGTAGCCCTTGCGGTATTTGGCGCTCGCCTCGGGTAGCCGCTGCAGTGTTCGGCGCTCGCCTCGGGAAAGACTTGCAGCTGACGTCAGCCAGCGGGCGCGCAAGAAGAAGAGGAGGAGGTGGAGGTGGAGGAATGGGAGGAGGAGGAGGAGGAGGAGGAGGAGGAGGAGGAGGAGGAGGAGGAGGAGGAGGGCGAGGGCACACGTTCGAGTGTCTTGGGCGAGCTTGGGGATGTCTCAAATGCGGGATCCGCAGGGCCGTTAGGGCCAAGGTCGTGCCTCTCCCGTGCGTCGGGGTTCCGAGGCCCGCTGCCTTGGCTCTCGGTTCCCATCGGCTCTGGGTCGTTCGATGCAGTCGGGGCCTGCAGGGGGGCCTGTCGTCGTTGGGGGGCGAGTCCAGACCGGTGGGAGCCAAGAGGCCGTTGTCTTCTGCAATCGCCGCGGGACTTACGCCCGACGGCAGACGCGCCCGCTGCGCACCGGGTGCCGCCCAGCTGCTCGGCTGGCCGGGCAGGCCCTGCCCAGGCGTCGAGCGGGGAGGGGGGGGGCCCAGTCTAACGTACACTGGGGGCTCCCCTTCCCCGCAATGCGGCGCCGAGTCCAAACCAGACAGCCGTGCCTCGCCCGGGCTTTTTGTGTTTGAGCGTGCTTCAGCCGCGGAGCCTTGGGCTGTTGGTCCTGGGCCGAGGGCCGTCGTTCGCCGCCGGCCCTCTTCGGGAGAGTGCCTGCGCAGACGCAAGCCGTGGCAGTGTCCGGGGAGACTCCCCGCTTTTTTTTGGACATTGAGGGCATGAAGGAGGATGAGGAGGAGAACGACTCGACGGGGTGGAGGGAGAGGATGCAGAGGACGAGGAGGGGGAGGGGGAGGCATAGCAGAATGATAGAAGGGGGAGGAAGAAGAGATGATACCTATACGAATGCTGATCATGCTGATGGTTGCGACGCGGAGGTTGACGATGACGATGATAACGACGGAGACGATGGCGATGACAATGAGGATGACGCGTAGGAGGAGGAGGAGGAGGAGAGAAGGGGGAGGAAGAAGAGATGATACCTATACGAATGCTGATCATGCTGATGGTTGCGACGCGGAGGTTGACGATGACGATGATAACGACGGAGACGATGGCGATGACAATGAGGATGACGCGTAGGAGGAGGAGGAGGAGGAGGAGGAGGAGGAGGAGGAGGAGGAGGAGGAGGAGGAGTGTGAAGAGGCGGATATGGAAGGGATGAGACGGAGGACATGTTTGCTTAATCGGGTTGTTGCGATCGAGTGTTCGATTGGCCCGACCACGCGATGAGGTTTGATCGATCATTGCGTCGTGCATCTCCATTGGCGTCGCGATTCAGCCGCACCGCCACGCGCACAAAACGGGGCCACGATCGGTTGCGCAATCTTGCCGCCATTGAGGCTAGATACTTGTCAGTTTACACGTGCGACACCATGGGTGTGGAGGGCAGTGACGTCTTCGGTCGGCCTTTCGACAGGCATTACTGCTGCCTCTTGCCCATCGCCGAAAGGGGAGGAGGAGGGGGTGGAGGAGGAGGAGGAGAAGGTGGTAGGAAGTTGGAGGGAGTGTCGGAGAGGAATAGAGAGTGGGTCTGATTATTAGTGGGATTTGACACGAGTACCTGAGTATATACAGATACGAGTGAGCACACGCGGTGAGTGGGTCTTGGCACGACTGGGTTGTCTGAGACCAGTGGGCTTCAGTACGAGTGGGTGGTTACGGATACGAGTTGGTCTTTTCGTGGGTGGTTCAGAAAGTTGCGATTGACATGAATTCTTCTGAGTTGGAGCAAGTCTGAAAATGAGCGATTGGCTATGATGGCATATGAGCCAGAGTATGTCTGAGTACAGGCGCGTAGCTATGATGAGTGATTGGGTTTAGAGGGGGTGGTGAATGGCAGGTTTTAAGTGAATATGGTTGTAAGCAAGTTTGTGTGTATGAGTTACTGGTTGTGATCGGTTGGATACGAAGGGAAGAGAGGAAGGAGGTGATAGAGGAGGAGGAGGAAGAGTTGGTGGAGGAGGAGGAGGAGGAGAACGAGGAGGCATGAGTAATGACCCCATCTTGTCGCACGGGGACCAGGAGCCCAAAATCGCGTCGCGCCACGCGCATTTGGTTTGAAAGGATTTGCCCCTGGGTGTTAGGGGCTAGCTTCGCCGACTGTCGCCTTTGGCTATCCCGGCCTCGCCTGCTGCTGCCAGCCGTCGGGTCCCCACTTGGCCCACTGTCACTGGGTGCCATGAGCTCCCCATAGACAACAGCTGCTGCAGGGGAGAGGGAGGAAGGACGGGGCAACCCGTGATTCGGAAGCGCGTGCCGCGCGCAACCTATAGACCCCACCTGGACAGAAGCTAGAACACCGTGGTTCGGTACGGGGCATAGGCAAGACGCTCAAATTCAGGAGGGAAAAAACACGCAGACACAATGAATCGTCGATGCCCTAGAAAATATGGGAAGGTGTGGGACGTGGGGGGAAAGACAGAAACCCAGAAAGTATGGGCACGCATGGGGAATGATTTCATATCTGCGGGTATGTGTTTGTGTGTCCTAAGGCCCCGTTCACAAATCAGGGCCACTTTCGGCTCAGGCGAGGCTCCTGGTGTTCGGGTCGTTCCTCAGCGGTCTGGTCGGGAACAGGAGTGAGGAGAAAGAGTGATGAGGAGGATGGATGAGAGAAGGTGGAGAGAGGAGGAAGGAGGGAGGGAGGGAGGAGGAGGAGGAGGAGGAGGAGGAGGAGGAGGAGGAGGAGGAGGAGGAGGAGGAAAGGGAGGAGCAGGATTGAGGGGGAGGAGGAGGAGGAGGAGGAGGAGGAGGAGGAGGAGGAGGAGAAGGACGGAGAGGAAACTCAGCCGTGGCCGAGGCGCGCCGTGCCCGCCGAAGGCGCCCTCCTTGTCGCTCCTTTGGCTCGCAGCTCCTCGCAATGGCAGCACGAGGACTGCGCCGCGCGCACTCGATGGCTCAGTCTCAACACAGGCCTCGGAAAAAAATAGCGAACACTCCTGCCGCATTCATCGGCGAACGCCTCCCCCTCCCCCCAAATGTTCAAAGTTGGCGGTGGATCTGATGCTGGTGAGTTGCACCTCGACCGCAGTCTCCCCCGCGCGTGCCAAGCTTGAGTTTGGGGGGCAGGGGGGGTGTTCGCTAACTGTTTCCCTCCACCGTAGCGGGTCTTCGCCGAGAGCTGCTCTCCCGAGAGCGTGGAGGCGCGCGTCACAGGACGAGTTCCAGGTGCGATCCAGGCAGGCAGAGTTCTGGACCGCGCGTCGCCTGTCTGCGGCGGTCTGCGGTGTACTGCCCCGGACAGATGGTTCGACACCAGGAAATTCGGGGGCGGAAAAGAGGGGGGTGATGACTAGGGGGGGAGATATCATGGCGTGGGCCATGACATTTCCCCAGATTTCATGGTGCCTCTTCTCATTTCATTACGTCCCTGGCCCCCCCGCTGGGCCGCGCACATGCCGCCAGTCATGATTTGCACCCCCCCTCTTGGACGCCCCCCTCTTGGCCGCTCCCGAGAAATCGAAGCTGTGCGACAACAGACACGCAGCAGTGGTTTGGCAGGGCGTGCCATGCGCAACCCACGGCGCAACCTGTAGAGCGGGGCAGACCGCGTGACCTGGCAGGGCGCGCTGCGAGCAGCCTGTGGGGCCACACCTGTGGCACAACGGCGCAGCCTGTGGAGAACCAGTGGCCCACCTCAGCACAACTTGTGGTGCAGTCTGTGGCGACCGAGCGTGAACGTGTCGTGGGTGCGGCTATTCGTTCGCTTGGGCGGTGCCGTGCTGCGCCGTGCAGCGCAGTGTACAGTGCCGTGCCGTGTCGCGTTGTGCCGTTTCGTATCCTGTCCTTGCGCATGTTTCCGGCTTCCTGGCGGGGTGGAGTGATTCGCCGATTGTTGTCCCCCGGCGTGTCCCCTCCTCGCCCGCTGTTCCCAGGAGTCGGGGGGGTGTCTGACGACTGTTGCCCCTGGCTGCCCCTTCCTCGCGCGTTGTCCCTGGGTGCCAGGCGCCAGGGTTTTCGTCGTTGATTGTTTCGGGCTGTCCCTGCCGCCGCCTGGCCAGTACTGTTACCATTGGCTCTGGGTAGGTCAGCCCTGAGCGACTTAGCTCTGGGCAGGTTATCCCCGGCTCAGATGCATTTGGCCTAGCTCTGGGTGTGTTCGCTTTCCGAAACGGCCGTCTCCGAATATGGCCACTCTGAGTAGTTGGGCCCTCCGCTCGCCGGGCCTGGTGGTGCTCATTCTGAGCAGGTATTTTATTGTAGGATAGCTCTGAGACCGTTTGCTTTGCATGGGCTCGACATGCGCGCGCCAGGCCTGAGGAGGTCATCTCCTGGCCAGCTTATCGTGTTCAGGCTATTTCCGAGGAGAGACCGCGGAGCAGCATTGCTGTTGGTCCACGCCATGGTCCTCATATCTGCAGCTCTTCGCTCCCACAGTCCGAAGACAGCGCCAGAGCGACCAAACACTGCTTCTGATGGGGGGCCGATCGGGATGCATGAGCCTGCAGGGCAAGCAAGGTGCCACGGGCACCCTGAGCATCCGTGGGGCGGTGCAGCCAGGCCCAGAATTCAGGCTCCTGGCCGCTCGAGCTGTACAGTCGGGGCCCTGAAGAAGGAACCCTTTTCGTTGGGGAGGGGCTCCGTGTTCCTTAATTGTTTCACAGCTTGCCTCAGGCTTTCCATGTGTTTCCGACCGGAAATCGAAGGTTACCTTATGGAAAAAGGGGCCTCGTTCCTTATTTTGGGTTCCTTAGGTCAAGGCCCCGACTGTATGAGGCTCCGGGGTGGCGGCCTCAATCTGCAGGCTTGGACTCCGTCCAGGTGCGTGGTGGCACGAACCCCGGGGCCGAAGCCTCGCCCTCCCGCCGTGTGCACGCGGCGCTCCTGGCGCGTGGGCCTGCGAGGGCCCGGAGCCCGGCGTGTCCGGCGCGCGCCCCCGAGGTATCGGCGAGAGGTGGTGTCGCCAGTGCTTTTTGTCCACGTTGCGATCGGAGAGGTCTCTGAGGCGCATGCCGTGAAAGTTTTACACTTTTTTCCTGCATCCGTGATCTCGGGCCAGCGTGCGACATGCTCTCGGCTGCGTTTCTGCGAAGGCTCTGGGAGGAGACGAGAGCTGCACTCCTGAGAACGTGGAGGCGCGTGTCACAGAACGAATTCCAAGTGCGATCCAAGCAAGCAGAGTTCTGGATCGCATGTCGCCTGTCTGCGACAGTCTACGATATTGCCCCAGACAGATGGTTCGACATCAGGAAATCAAATCTGTGCGACAACAAACACGCAGCGGTCTTCGGGATTGTGGACCTGGCATCTTGGAGGGCCTCTTTGGAAGCTTCTCCGAAAGCTTCCTGGAGGCTTCTTGGAGGCCTCTGGGGGCCTCTTGGGGTCATCTTGGTGGCCGTCTCGCGGGTCTCGGGGGCCATCTTGGGTGGAAGAGGTCCAGGGCCGTCTCGAAGAACAAAAGCCTGAGCAGAAAATCGGGTCCCTTTATGGGCCACTTTTGAAGGCATCTTGGGACCTCGGGGGCCGTCTTTGAGCGACCTTTGTCTCGAAACGTCTTGAACTGAGGACACTCGATCACGTGACAGTGGCGGGGCGATGGATCAGAAGAAGGCACGCCTGTTCTGAGCTATCTGCGACAATGGCGGCAAAGAAATGTGCGATCCGACTTACGACTCCCTCGTGCCCTCTGTCTCCGCGCGCGGACCCGCACTCGAGTTGCGCTCCGCTCATGTGCGCTTGCGCTGCCCACAGCTCCGAGCCTCGCTGTGAACGCTGCGCAGGACGAAGCAGACCCCTGGACCGACAGAACATCGGCCGAGCGCCGCGCGGCACACAATCCCCCCCTTGCAGCAGGCTGTACGCCAGTCTGCGGCACGCGCCCGACGTGGTGCCCTTAGCGCCCCCCGGCCGCGTGGCCATTGCCACTCGCGATCGCATCGGGGGAAGCCGTCAGGATGCAAGACCACAGCCGCCACTCGGAGATTTTGCGTCGCAGCTGTGCCTCGTCGTGCTGGAGCGTGGGCACGTGCACGCGCAAGGCCCCACAGCAGCGGACAGTGCAGAGAGGAGGAGCACGCACGGGTTCGCGAGCATGCCCTTCCGAGTTCACCGCGCAAGCGCCCTTGCTTGCAGCCCTCACTACTTCCCCGTCACAATTTCCGATCTTGACTCCCCTCCTGACTCCCCAGACCTACGCCCTTGCCAAATCCCCCGTACCGACGCCACCCCGAACAGTGCGCGCGCACAGGGACAAGATAAAACATGTGGTGTTTGCGGTTCTCTCTCTCTCTCTCTCTCTCTTCCGCCCTCCCCCCCTCTCTCTATCTCGATCTCTGTGTATACATATATATATATATATGGAATCGGTACTCATCGTCGCCTCGCAAGGTATGCTGTGCAATCCATGTGGGGCAATCTAGGTGTCGCGATCTATGTGGTGCAATTGATCTTTACCCATGATTTGACACATCCCATGCTCTTGCAAACATTCCTCCCACCCACCCACCCGCAACTTGGTTTGCAGACCTCTTAAGACCGACTACGACGACACCGACGACAACGACGACGACGACGACGACACCGACGACGACAACGACAACGACGACAACGACAACGACTACTACGACGTCTCCGACGACTTCGATGACGACGGCAACGACGACGACGATACCGACGACGATACCGACGACGACGACGACGACAGCGATGACGACGCCGACGACGACGACAACGACGACGACGTCGACGACGCCGACGACGATACCGACGACGCCGACGCCGCCGACGACGACGACGACAGCGATGACAACGCCGACGACGACGACAACGACGACGCCGACGACGACGACGTCGACGACGCCGACGACGACGGCGACGACAACGCCGACGCCGACGACGACGACGACGATGACAACACCGACGACGACGACGACGCCGACGAAGCCGACGACGACGACCATGACGACGACGACGACGTCGCCAACGAAGACGACGACGACGAGGGAGGAGGGAGGACGACGACGGCGACAACGACGACAACGACGAATGAGGAGGGAGGACGGCGACGACGCGAACGACGAAGAAGGAGGAAGGACGGCGACGCCGACGACGACAACGACGAGGGAGGAGGGACGACGACGTCGACGACGACGGCGACGAAATAGGAGGGACGACGACGAGACGCCGACGACGGACGACGACGATGACGACGAGGGAGGAGGAGGAGGAGGAGGAGGAGGAAGGACGACCACGGCGACAACGACGACGGAAACGACCACGACGCCAACGAGGACGACGACGACGAACACGAGGAAAGACAGAGGACGACGTAGGCGACGACGACGACGACGCGGGAGGAGGGAGGACGGCGACCACGACGACGACGACGACGACGCAAGAGCGCGCGCGCACGCTTTGGTTGAAAATCCGTGTTGCGAAACCTTATGTTTTTGTATGTTTTTTGGACACACGATGTTGAAATCCTTCCGAAACCGATGGGGTTTGAAGGATTTCGGCATACGCGCGCGACGACTCCCTTTTTTTGCAGAGGATTCGCGACGGCACACTCGCAAGGGCGTTCGACAGATTTCGACGTGCGCGCGCGAAGCCCGTTCGGTAGCATGTTGTGAAAATCTTGAAAAACCTATGGTTTTCTTAAGACTTGGCAAGAGCTCGCGCGTAAGCTTTTTTAGCAAATCAGTGTTGCGAAACCCTGTGCTTTCGTATGTTTTTTGGAAACTCGATTGCGAAATCCTTCCGACACCGAAGGTCCTTGAAGGATTTCGGCATGCGTGCGCGACGACGCGCGCGTGTGCACTTCGTCCAATTTGTTGCAAGGGATTCGCGAACAAAGTCTTGTGTTAGAACAAAAGATGTCCCCGCGTATCGTTTTTTTTTTACCAGGGAATGCCCCTGAGGGTCATTCCGCGCGAGTGGGCTCGCTGCTGCCGATAGCCCTTGGAATTCCAACTCTTAGGTGGGACCCCCTAGGGGCCACAGGGGAGATCCCTTCCGCGCGAGCGGGCTCGCATGGAATGCCCCTGAGGGTCATTCCGTGCGAGCGGGCTCGCTGCTGCCGATAGCCGTTGGAATTCCAACTTTTAGGTGGGACCCCCTAGGGGGAACAGGGGAGGTCCCTTCCGCGCAAGCGGGCTCGCATGGAATGCCCGTTAAAAATCTTCAAAAGATACCCCCCAAATAAGGAAAAATAGTGAAAAGATAGTCCCCCGATTATTTTTTTCACTATTCTTGAATATTCCTTCTGTAGAGGGACGGGCCCGACTTGAGGCTGGCGCCCGGGGATGGGCGGCATCCCGGCCAGGGGCCTTGGGCCCTGGGGGGCCCGCGCGCTTCGCGGGGGCCGCCAGGAGGGGTGCGAGGGCCAGGGCGGGGGGGGATCTCACGGCGGGGGCCATGGTAGCTCCCAGATTTCCCTGCGCCTCCTCTCACTTCAATGCGTCCTCGGCCTTCCCCACCCCCCCCCATAGGGGGCCAGATGCGAACCCTACCCCTACCCCCCCACGATTTCTGAGGGGGAGGGTGGGATTCACTTCGTTCGGGAGCTCCCGAGCGAAAAGAACCCCACCCTCCCCCTCAGAAGTCGTGGGGGGCAGGTGTAGGGTTCGCATGTGGCCCCCTAGTCCTCGGCCTCCCCCCCCCCCCTCTGGGCCACGCACACGCCGCCGGCCAGGAGTGGCGCCCCCGCCTCCCGGACCGCCCCCGCCCGGCCGCCCCCGACAGACGGCTTCGGCCCGGCGGGGTTGCCCTGAGCTCCGATGCCGCGAAGCTGCGGCACCCCAGCCGGGTCGATCTGTGATGCTCCCGGGGGCCCGAAACCGGGCGAAACCGTCCGGTGTTGAAACATTGCATCGCCCAGATTTCAGGGTGGCTTGGGGGAAGCGGGCCTGCGAGGGAGCCGAAGTTCTCATGGCGCCCAGCCCCTGTCGACAGGAAAAGGACGCGACCGGAAAGTATCGACGACCGACTACGTACCCGAAATCTTGACCGAACTCGCGTGAAATTTTGGCCGCAAAATGGAAGTTGCTTCGGTTTCGAACCCTGAGTTTCGGTCACCACTCTGGCGCATCCAGAAACATTCGGGCGCCGGCTTCGGTCTCGGTCATTGTCGGTCAGATTTCCGGGCACAGTCTCGGCCATCGCGGTCGTGAATCGTGGCTCAGCGTGTGGCTCCGCCAGTTCTGGCCCACCACGCTTCGGCGCGGCACGCTACGGTAGAGGGAAACAATTAGTGAACACCCCCCCTGCCCCCCAAACTCAAGGTTGGCACGCGCGGGGGAGACTGCGGTCGAGGTGCAACTCATCAGACCCACCGCCAACTTTGAACACTGGGGGGAGGGGGAGGCGCTCACAGATGCCTGTGGCATGAGTGTTCGCTATTTTTTTCCGAGGCCTGTGTCCACTTGCCCATTCCCGAGCGTCAAGCGTCGCCCGCTGCCTTTCGGCACCCCGCCCCGCCGGAGCGCCACTGCGCTGTCCGCTCGCGGGGCCCCAGCCGCGACGCGCTCATGGCAAAAGTTCATGGCCGCCCGCCGCCCGCACAGAGGCGAGGCGTGGGGGGAGTGTGCGATCGGGAGGCAGTCGGGGGGATGCCAACAATACTCAGGAGGGGAAAAAAACACAGACACAAGTAATCGTCGATTCCACTCAAAATATAGGAAAATATGAGGATTGGGGGGGAAGACAAAAACCCAGAAAGTATGGGAAAACATGGGGAATCCTTTTATTTGTGTGTGTATTTATTTGTGTGTCCCAAGGCCCCTTCAGTCGGGGGGATGCCAACGATACGCCGCCGCCAGCCCCGGCCAGGTCCATCCTGGGCCCCGGACTGGTGCACAGACCTCCAGGCCTATAGGCCAGGAGGGGCCTGTGCACCAGTCCGGGGCCCAGGATGGGCCTGGCCGGGGCTGGCGGTGGTGTCTCGTCCGGAGCCCTCCTAAGAGAGAGGCGGCGGGCCGCGCGCGCTGGAGACGCTCCCAGCACCTTCCGTGCACGGGCCTGGCCGCAACACACACTCTGGGTGGGATGTTGGTCGAGGGGTGGGCGACTGACCTTCCGGCGGAGCTCTTCCCCCCCCCCCCTCCGCCACCTCCACCTCCTCCTCCACCTCCTCCTCTTCCTCCACAATTACCTCCTCCCCCCCCCCCCTCCACCTTCCTCCTCTTCCTCCTCCACCTCCTCCTCCACCTCCTCCCCCCCCCCCTCCTTCTCCACCGCCTCCTCCTCTCCTCCTCCTCCTCCTCCTCTCCTCCTCCTCCTCCTTCCCCTCCTCCTCCTCTCCCCTCCCCCTCCTCCTCCTCCCCCTCCCTCCTCCTCCTCCTCTTCCTCCTCCTCCTCCTCCTCCTCCTCCTCCAACCCCCACTCACTCCACCCGTTCCGACAGCGCGTGCCCGACCCCCCCAGCGGATCCAAAGGGGGGGGGGCGACTCTTACCCCATCCAGAGCACGCGCTCCCATGCACACTTCTTTCGGCAGCACACCCTGCGGCGACGTACTCGCGCTCGTGCGCTCTAGGGCAGGGCTGGGCTCTCTCCCTCTGAATGCTGCTGCCGGTGCTGATGCACATCCTCAAGGGAGGAAAAATCACCTGGACCAGACAACTGGCGTTTACTAAACGTCGGGAGCCTTGAGACGGGGGTCAATGCAAACGGGGGTCAGCCAGAGCGCCAGATTTTGCAGCATCCTGCGAAGACCCCCTCTGGCTGACCCGGGTTAGCGAGCCGCTCGTGGTCGCGAGGCGGCCGCTCGTATTGGCTGACCCGGGTTTGCGAAGACCTGCGTTGCAGTTTGTTTTTCCTGCATTGCAATGTTTGGTTTCTTGCTGACCCGGGTCTGGATAGACCCGGGTCTGAAGATCCCCGCAAACGGCCCTGGGCGTTCACTAAACAGCCCTGCCATGTTCGATTCCTTCTTGGGGCGCGTTTACTCACGGCCTCGCGTGTCGGGGTGGTTCTTGTCGGGGTGGATTTTTTGCCCTCCGCATGCAGAGACGAGGCTGCGTGGAAGTTTTGGGCCCAGGAGCCTCGACCCGGTCGGCCGCCGCGGGCCCGGGCTCGGCTGGGCGCGGAGGTTCCGCCGAGGTCCCGCCGCCGCTGCCCGCGGAACCCGCCGGCCAGCTCGGAGTGCCAGGCCTCTCGCGCCTCGTGTCTGCCCCCGCTGCGGCGCCTCCCCGATGGGCGCCTCCCCGCACGAATCGCGAACGCCGTCGCAATTCACACAAGCGTCGACCTTACCATCACCACCACCACCATCATCGTCATCATCGTCATCTTCGTCATCATCATCATCATCATCATCATCATCATCATCATCATCATCATCATCATCATCATCATTATCATCATTATCACCATCACCATCATCATAACCATCCTCATCACCAACCTCCTCCTCCTCCTCCTCCTCCTCCCCATCATCATCATCATCATCATCATCATCATCATCATCATCATCATCATCATCACCACCACCATCATCATCATCATCATCATCATCATCATTACCACCATCATCATCATCATCATCGTCATCATCGTCATCGTCATCATCATCATCATCATCATCATCATCATCATCATCATCATCATCATCATCATCATCATCATCATCATCATCATCATCATAGTGATCGTCATTGTCATCGTCATCGTCATCATCGTCGCCGTCGCTGTCCCCGCTGCCGTCGCCGTCGCAGTCGCCATCATCGTCATCATCATCATCATCCTTCTCCTCATCGTCGTCATCATCACATGGTCATCGCCGTCGCCGTCGCAGTCGCCACCATCCTCATCGTCATCATCATCATCATCATCATCATCATCATCATCATCATCATCATCGTCATCGTCATCGTCATCATCATCATCCTTCTCATCATCATCATCGTCATCATCACATGGTCATCGCCGCCGCCGTCGCAGTCGCCACCATCCTCATCATTATCAACATCATAATTATCATCATCGTCAGCGTCATCGTCATCGCCGTCGCCGTCACCGTCGCCATCATCATCATCATCATCATCATCATCATCATCATCATCATCATCATCATCATCACCATCATCATCATCATCAGCATCATCATCATCATCTCCTCATCATCATCAACATCATCATGATCATCATCATAATTATCATCATCGTCAGCGTCATCGCCGTCGCCGTCACCGTCGCCGTCACCGTCGCCATCATCATCAGCAGCATCATCATAATCATCATCATCTCCTCATCATCATCGTCATCATCAGTATCATTATCGTAATCGTCATCGCCGTCGCCGTCGCCGTCGCCTTCATCATCGTCATCATCGTCATCATCATCATTATCAGCATCATCATTGGTATCGTCGTCATCATCATCGGCATCGTCGTCGTCATCAGTACCAGCAGTCATCACTGGCATTGTCATCATCAGTTCCATCGTCACCAGTATCCTCATCCTCATCACTGCCACCACCATCATCGCCATCAGCATCATCATCATCATAATCATCATCATCATCAGCATCATCACCATCATCATCATCATCATCATCATCATCATCATCATCATCATCATCATCATTACCGTTCCTATTTGTTCAGAGATTTTAATACCTATGTTTGCTATTACTGTTATCATCGTCATCATCAGGATCATCAGTATCATCAGTATCATCATCATCATCGCACTAGCAGCGTCACCACCACCATTATCACCATCATCATCATCAACCCCGCACCGCCTATTATCATCATTATCATCATGACCATTACCGGCATCATATTAGCACGGGCTCCTGGAAATCATGTATGACCACGTGGTCGATCAGTCAGCCATGTGGGGCGTTTCAGAGAGCTCCTCGCCTTCGAGGCATCGAGATCTTGTCATCTCTTCCTCGGCGGAGAGCGGCGGAATGCCAGCGGAAGGTGACGGACGCAGAACGAGGGCGGCTCCGCCGACGGAAGGCCGGCGGAAGTCAAAATCCCCCCACGGAGACGCCAGCGTTTTTGGCATCAGAGTTTTGAGGGTCGGCTTTGTCTCGGTCCTCGTGTGGGAAGGGCCTTGCTCTCCGTCCTGGTCGCGTCTGCAGAGTGACAGAGGGGTGTCGCTGAGTCCCCCCCCAACTTCTGCAGCGCTGGCCGATCTTCTGTGGGGGTGGTGGTCGATGTGGCTGGCGGCCCGTGGCCGCAGACGCACGCAGCGCGCAGCTGAAAGGCAGAGTTACGGCATCGTGGATGGGGTCGGCGTGCATTCCCAGGGCGGCTCCCTGGAGCTCTCATGCTGGACCTGCGAGGTTGCTGGGGCTTGAAGCTTCCCCCCCCCCGCCCCAGATGCGACACTCCACCTCCCCAGACCCCTCACTTGATGTTGAATCCGTCCCGTCTCCGTCGTGCGACTGTGACTTCTGCTTTCCGGCGCTCGCTTTTGAACGGAGTCTCTCTTCTGTCCTGCTGTGCTCTTCTCTCCTCTTCCTCCTCCTCCGCAGTGTTGGCTGTCTGCTTCTGGCTTCTGCTCTTCTTCCTGGCGAGCTCCCCCCCTCCTCGCCCGCAGCCATCTCTGCCAGGGGCGTGTTTGGGCCTGCGCCCCTGTCGGGCTCCGCGGCGAGTGGGAGGGGACCCCCAGCGGGAGCGGCGCTGACCGCCCGCCGCGCCGCGGCCATGAAGTTCGGCAAGCAGATGGAGGCTATGACAAGCGTAACCACGTCGGGGTGCGCCGACCTCACACACACACACACACGTACACACGCACACACACACACACACACACACGTACACACGTACACACGCACACACACGCACACACACACACACGCACGCACGCACGCACGCACGCACGCGCACACACACACACACACACACACACACACACACACACACACACACACACACACACACACACACACACACACACACACACACACACAACACACACACACACGCACGCACGCACGCACGCACGCACGCACGCACGCACGCACGCACGCACGCACGCACGCACGCACGCACGCACGCGCACGCACGCACGCACGCACGCACGCGCACACACTTACACACTTGTTTTGGCGTCGTGGTCCCGCGCGCTACGATGGAGCGTAGAAAGTCGAGTGCAAGCAGCGGAGCGCGTGCGTCTACGCCCCGCCGAGCTTTCAGAGACCACTTACGGTCTCGCAGCTGGCAGCAGCCATACCCATCCAGGCATGGATGGCGCCGCGGGGCAACGGGCGGACGAAGCCTACGATGCGGACGGAAGGTGACTTGAGCCAACCGGGACTGGAAAGCGGGGAGAGCGAGCGTTAGAGTGTGGACCGACAGAGGAGACGCATACACACACATTTTTTTTTGTTGGCGATCGCTGCCTCGCGCGCAGCGACGAGGCGGAGCAGGTCCCCAAGCGAGAAAAACGCGCGCGCGTCCGGCCCCTCTCAGCAGAAGGGCAGGGATCCCACAGGATCGGCCATGCCATGCGCACACCTGGGCGCTGGCCGCGGGGGTGCGGTGGGTGCAGCGCGCGCAGGGCAGCCCGAGGGCGACGAGAGGGTGCGCAGTGAGGCTGGAAGCCAGGACGAGAAGCAGGTAAGGAGGGGCAGCGGCAGCGAAGGCAGCAGACTGCTCCGCGGCCCCCGGAAGCCGCAGCCAGACGGCCGTGGAGCCGTGCCGTGCTGCGGGGGCGCAGCAGGAAGGAAAGCAGGGAGCCCCAGCGCAGCGGGGCGCAGGAAGGGCAGCCAAGGACGTGAGGGCAGCCAGGGACAAGCCGAGGCGCGGCCGGGAGGAGGAGGTGGAGACACCGCAGACGCCACACGAGGACGAGCGGTGCAGGAGACAGCGCCCAGGCAGCAGACGAGCCAAGGAGCGCAGCATGGCACAGGGCCGCACCCAGGGCCCCCAGAGCAGCGGGCGGAGAGCGGCCCCCGGCCAGAAGGGGTGGCCTCCCGCCGAGCACCGGGCAGGGCGGACGGGGGGTGACAGGGGCGGGTCCTCCTCCTCCTCCTCCTCCTCCTCCTCCTCCTCCTCCTCCTCCTCCTCCTCCTCCTCCTCCTCCCCCTCCTCCGGAAGGGTGCTTCCCCCGGCATGCCGTCAGCGCGCCACCAGCCAGGTTCGGTGTGGCCAGGGGCGGTTGGGTCGCGGCAGGTCGCGGGAGGGGCCTCGCAACTCTGAAAGGCGGGGGCTCCTCGGTCGGCGCAGCGCGCGGGCCAGAGACGCCCCGGGCAGCGGGGAGGCACAGGAGGAAGCTGCTGAGCTGCAGGAGGCCCCTCGCGGGAGACGCCTTGAGCCAGGGGGCTACGGTCACGCACGCACACACACACACACACACACGCACACACACACACACACACACACACACACACACACACACACACACACACACACACAACACACACAACACACACACACACACACACACACACGCACACACCCGCACACACACATACACACACAAACACACACAATCACACACACACACGCGCACACGCGCACACAGGTGCACCTATCGCACGTTTGCGCCGTCGATTTCTCTTGAAGCTGGAGCGGACGCCGCGGTCTCGTGAGGTTAGGCACATCTGGGGAGGGCAGTGCCGGTTTTTTGGCCGATCCGGGTGTGCGGGTCCGGGTCGAGCTGTTTATAATTGCGGGGGGGACAAACAGCTTGATAGGAGGTTGGGGGTGAAGTCGAAGTGTGAAGGAAGGGCTGCCCCGCCTTGGAAATCGTTCCGTTTCGTGCGAGACGTGCGGGCGAGGCGAAGTTACGCGAGTTCCTGGCCTACGAGGGGCCAAGTCATACCAACATGAGTCGCCCCGTGTCCGGATCGCGGCTTCCGATGGTTCCCGCATGGTCCCGATGGTTGTCTCGATAGTTGTCACATGGTTATCCCGATGGTTGTCCGATGGTTGTCCCGTTGTTGTCCCGCCTGTTGATAGGTAGCGGGCCGATCTTTTGATTCATAGTGTGATCGCATTTGCCATGCCAAACAACAGTGCAATAATGGGTAGCACATGTTGGTTCCTTCCACTGCACGATAGGATCCTGGATCCTGGGGATGGGATTTCAGTTGCCAGGATTCCCAGCCACGCGCGTTGACGATTGCAGGCTTGGGACCAGAACGACGGACACCTCGAGCGCAACTTCTCGAAGATAATATTGTGCAGC